CACGTGCCGAACAGCCACATTCAAATTGGCAGAATTCTCGAATCATGTCGGGAAATGTCAACAGTTGTACCCTCGAATTTCTATTCTCAACAGAAATATCAATCAGAGTTCCCACCAAAATACGTAATATCCATGGTGATAGGGCAATATGGTCCAATTACTACTGACCTCGCGTGATTTTTAACGCATGGCAAAGTCCGTAAGCTAAAGAACTTAGACAAATATTAAGGCGCGCACAAAGTTTAGCGATTTTCCTTTGACATCTCGCTGTTTCATTCTACATCCGTGAAACAGGATTATAATCCACAAAATTCAAAAGAAGCGATAAATAGTCAGTTTCGGGCAAGCGGTTTTTCTTTAAACTAGCAAACAAGATAATCTGTTATGAAAGGCCTACTTTCTCATCCATCAAGACTGTTTCTATATCAAAACAACAATGTGCCCATTCTTGCATCATGGTAATCAGCTAAACACAGAATGCAAACCATTTCAGTTAATTAAATTTAACCCACAAAGCAGACACATGAATCTAAAAATGGCTACTAACTAGATGGCTTACAGGGCCCGAAGGTTCATCACCGAATTAACCAAAGCCCTCCACCGGACCCTGTCCTGGGCCAACAAAATCCAGTTTCCTTCAACTCCTATCTCCCATAGATCCCGCCTGAGATTATCCTCCCAAGTACCAAATCTCATGTCCTTTTTCAATTGCCGTGGTCATGCCAAAGAGTCCGTCCTGATCCGAGGCTTGGTTGATTTTTTCGTAACACATATTTTTTTAAAGGTGAAAGGTTGTTAGCCCTACACCCAACCCCCAACCTGGAGGACCAGGTCAACACCCGATTCTCAAACACCTGCAATCTGTGTTCCTTCCTCTGAGTGACAGACCATGTTTTGCACCCATACAAAACAACAGGCAAAATTACTGTTTTGTATACTTTAATCTTCAGGTTCTTAGAAATCAGATGGGAAGACAAAATATTTTGATCTGAGAAGTAGCAAGCATTTCTGGAATTAGTCTCCTCCTAATTTCCTCATGAGTACAATTTTGATTTCTCATTGTTGTTCACAAATATTTGAACTTCCATTGTTGTGGCATCTCTTCCTATTGATTAATTTTCGTTGTTATGTATGCTTATTTAAACCAATGAAAGCGGTGTCTGAACATTATTAGTTTCATCATTAGTGCACATTTGCAGTTGCTTCGTACACCGAATAGACCAGACCGAGTCTCGAATCAAACTGTTTAACTGTCTGCAGATGTTCACGGATGGCTGGTTTTTACAAGGAGCGGACCGGGCCGTGAGTCTACATTTCGAAACAGGGACTGCACCAGTTTTCTACTAAAATATGATTGGATCTGCAAGCAAATTGCCATTATCATCCTTTACCAAATTGATATCCTTTCTTAACGATATTAATGCCTCTCTACAGGTCTCTGATATTTTTTTCCTTATTATTTGTCTCAAGTTCAACAATTTTGCCCTTCAGGTATTCCCTTTTCTTATTCCTAAAGGTTCTACTAGCTTCACGTCTCACGTTACATAGATTATCCGCATTTGTTTTGTTTGGGTTCTGCAACCATTTAAATTTTGTTTTCTTCCTTTGATCTGTTAATTTTGAACATTCATCATCAAATCATAGTTTATTTTGCTTTCTCCTGTAGTAACCTAGATTCTCTTTGGGTGAAAGTTTGAAGCAGTTTCTACATTTTCCCATTCCATGTTGTTTTCCACACATTCATTATCTAACTAATAATAATAATGTGTATATCCAATTTACATCCATGAGGAGGAGAAAAAAAAACAAATACAGGCTAGAAAATAGAGAAAAAAACTCAGGTACAAGGTCACAGAGAGAAAGGCACCATGCCAGCACAGCGCATATTTAAGTGTTTTAAAAACCAGCAGCCACTTTTGTTTTGTCTTCCTTCAGAGTTCAAGCTAAAAAATGCTTAGCAGATTGTTATTTTTATTAAGTACTATAATACTAGGACTAGAAGCTATACCCCCTCAGAATGGGCCAATAGTCCACGCGCAACAAGGTACACTGCAAGGCTCTTACTTAACTTCCCGCTATGGAAGAAAATTTGCAGCTTTCCAAGGAATACCTTATGCAGAACCACCAATTGGAGACCTCAGGTTCAAGGTAAGATTAACTTAACTTATAACAATGAATATCAAAATTATAAACCACGAAAGTCAATGTAGAAAACAGAAATATTTATTTCCAGACAATTCAGAAATAACTGTGGATGCTATAGTTGGCGCAGTAGTTTTTGGCTGGTGGAATTTTCAAGGGGAAGGCTAGGAGCGAGTCACTTGTGTGATAGTATAATGCTGACTGCATCGAGGAGCTTATCGGACTGAACGCCTAAACAAAAGAAATACAATGACCGTGCCACCTCAGGTACACAGAGTAGGCCCGTCCGCCAGCTTCTCCACCAGCCAAAAACTACTGCGCCGACTATACCAGAATGTTTTCCTCCATAAGGAAAGAACAGAAAATGTAATTATAACAGTTATACAGCTTTCTTAACAGAACAATCACACTTCCTATTTGGGGCACCATTGTAAAATTGGGCAAAAAAAATTTCAGCCACTTAAATCTAATCATCACTGAAAAAATTAGTGATATTAAAAGGATTACCCAAACTGAGTATAAAATCAAATATTGTTATTTGTTATTGCTTTTACACTCCATGAGAACCTTCACTTTTTTGCAGATTGTGTTACTTTACAATATTACAATCTGCCGAACTATAAGACACAAATTTCAAATTACAACAACATTATTAAATTATGCCAGCATCAAATATTTACTGTAATAATGTTCGGTTCCAAGTGGCATAGAAAAATATATTAATTTTAATAAAAATAACTGCACATTTTATAAAAGCATATGGGGGGGGGGGGCATTTCATAAAGGTAAAAAGCATTTTATGTAACACCAGTGGCTAATAGGCATGTGGAACCTGACATCCAAATCACTTGGTACATGAAGGTCATTACAAACTTCACAACACATGCCAAGTGATCAATGAAGGAGCCAGAAACAAAGTTAAAGCCAAAAACATGCTCAAACTTTCAAGGAGTTAAACCTTGAAAGATAAGGACAAGATATGATAACAGAGGGCACACAAAGATGAATAACACACTGAAAAGAACTTGTACTTATTACATAATCCTGACTGACAAATATAAAGAACAAAGAATGAAAAGAGTAACAAATTATAACTTTTTTTGATACTGATTACCATAATGATTATCCAATTTCAACTCAATATCCCTACAGCACTTGTGCAAGATATGGTTATGAAAATAAAGAGTGTGTGTGGGGGGGGGAAGGCCTTGGTGTATCAACCATCCAATTAGGCTCTGTTTGCTGTCCTAGATAACCTTGACAACATTCTTGCTTGAAGGATAAAGCACAATCAACATTTAAATAGCAAAACATGATGAAATTATCTTATATAAACCCTGTTCAACATAACTATACAAAAAAACTAGACACTTTATTCTGAATCAGACTTCCCCCCCACTTTGTCGTAGTGGTGGGGCTTGCGTGGTCATGTGATCCTGAGAGCTATGCTGGCAGTAGCTTGGCTACCAGAAAAGTCTCCCACGCCAGACATTTCAAGGATGAAGGCCCAGACTAAGATACCCTGGTCCTCAAGATTGGAGGTTGGGTGAGGGGGCCAACTACACCTCCCTGTAACACATACCCTGATCCCTGACAGGGACAGAGGATTTTTCCTCTAGCCTCTGCTTCCAGAACGGCTCTGGGGCCCACCCAGCCTCCTATCCAAGGAGTGGGTACCAGTGTCCTTTCCCGGGGGTTAGGCACAGCCAGGGCATGATACTGACCATTCACTCCCTTCTAGTGCCAAGATTGAGAAAGAGTAGTAGCTATACCTCCTCTCCTCCCAAGTGCTTATATGATATATAGTGGGACAGCTTTACTTTTTTTATGTGATTTCATTATGTAGGATCCTGTAACACCTAAACCATGGGTTGGAGTTTGGAATGCAACCCAACCTGGTGCCATCTGTCTGCAATGCAGAAGACTTCCACCAAGACTGTACAATACAACCGACCCAATTGTGGGTGATGAAGACTGTCTCTTTCTGAACATCTACACTCCAAAGGTACTATTAATAAAATGTAACTGACAAAGGCACTCCAAATATTTGGCTGCCTCACCAGGTAAAAGGCATTCAAAACCCTTCATTGGTAGGCCCTTGGGTCTGTCTGCAGACCTATTCCTCTTGGAGAGGAAACAATGCGGGCTGATAACAAGGCTGTTAACTACTCAGTGTACATTGAAAAGGCAGTTATGGACACAGCTGATAAATATGAGGGCTTCAATCAGGTTGTGCTGTCTCTAGCAGTGTGTCCAGGGCTCTTTGAAGTGTCCTGACAAGATGGTCTGAGTGTCTGGGGCAAATAAACTAGTTCACAATAATCCAATAGCTAGGTAACTGATAATACTAATAATATTAACATTAATTTATAAACAAAATCAACATGGTTAAAAAATCTAAGACCCTTCTGTCTTAACAACATGTTTATGTAGAAAGCATGTCAAAAATCAAAACTGGTACATCTGCAATGTTCTTTTTCCTACAGAGTAGAATTATTTAAATGCTGACTAAGTTCCTTTCTTCTTCCAGCTTCCAAAAGATGGATCAAATCCCAACCTAGACGTTCTTTTCAATTTACATAGTGGTGCTTTCATGTACGGCTGGGGACATGAATTTGGACCAGAAATTTTAATGGATAGAGACATAATTTGGGTCACTATTAACTACAGACTTAATTTTTTTGGTAAGTTCTACAAAATCTTTGATAAAAATACCTAAATCCAATCACAAAATAAATCTGAATTCAATATAACTTATGCATATGATGTATCTAACGCAGGTTTCCTCGACACCGAGGATGAAGTTGTTCCAGGCAACATGGGGATGAAAGATCAATCAATGGCCCTTAAATGGATTAAGGATAACATTGCAGCATTTGGTGGAAATCCTCACAGTATTACTCTGACAGGAACTTCAGCAGGTGGAAGCAGCGTGCATTATCACTACCTATCCCCCTGGTCTCGTGGTACGGAATTCCTCTGATACCATTTACTTTATACTGAGATTATTTTTGAGTGCAAAAAAAAAAAAATTAAAATTAAAATTGCGAGTAACGAATATTTTTATTGTATGAAGAAGTAACATGACTCTAATAGTTGAGCCTTATTTACAATTTTTTTTGGTTCTTTTGCGAAGCAGAGTCTTCATGTCATGTTTTTTGACTAAAATTCTGTACTTATTTCATATTTCCCCCCGCATGTCCCACATACCTCAACCTCCTCGATTTTAGCACTGTCGAATATCTGATAAGTAGTACAACTTATGAAGCTCTTGCATTATACATTTTTTTCCCCCATCCTTCTGTTACTTCCTATTTTCAGTCCAAGTGTTTTCCTCAGCACTCCTAGAGTGGAAGACCAAGTTTCAAACCCATACCTTTATTTCACTTTCTAGGTCTCTTCAAAGGTGGTATATCGCAAAGTGGGACTGTTACCCTTCACTGGGCATTAATGGAGGAAGGGCGCGCTAAATCAAATCAGTTAGGTGCACTTCTTGGCTGCAGCACAGAAAATACTAAAACGATGGTGGATTGTTTGCGTCAACGTCCAGCACAACAAATTGTGAAACAATGTTGGAACTTCCAGGTAATGATAGTGGGTGACGTCATGCACAGGCGATGTCAGCATAATAAACATATTTCACTCAGAATGGACATTCCTGTTTCTCATCATTTCACCCGGCCACTGCGATGAATAACGTGCTTGCCCCGTTTATTCCACTTTTCTGGGCATATTCTTCCTATTTCATTACATACTAATACACTATCCCATTACGTTATTTCAAAAATTTAGCCAAACCTACAAAATTATGATAACTGTCCATTCACAAGTTGTACCTCATTGAGCAGGGGTTATATTACTCAAAATTTCCTACCTGGTTTCTAATTCATTAAAACATTATACTCTTAAATGAATTATAAATTGACTTACTTCACTAGTTTCTATTTTTGTGTGATTTCAGAGGTGGATGTATAATCCGTTTTCTCCATTTGCCCCTACAATAGAGAAATCTAGTCCCAATCCATTCCTCAGTAAGCATCCACTTGACTATCTTCTGGAGGGAGATGTTGAAGATGTGCCATGGATTACAAGTGTAACAACAGAGGATGGACTCGTGCCTGCTGGGGGTTTGTATACAACACCCTGAGATATTTTTTGGCATAAAAATACATAGATGACTGTTTACTAGGCTGTACCACCGTGTAGTCTGGTAGAAGTTACTGATTTTTCGAAGGTCCTTGCTGCCTCCATCATCAGGATGGTGATGATGGAGGTAGCAAGGTGTATCAATATGTTCAATGCCAAGTGTATCATTCTTCCACTTCATAAACAATAAAAACTATTGCAGGCATGTTAATTGCTAATCACTCACAAGCTTGCACACCTCACAAATGTTACATTTTACAAATGAAAATCTGTTTGTTGGAAAACAGACTGGATTGCAAATGAAAATACGTTGGAACAGCTGGTACAACAATTTGATGAACTTATTCCACATATAATGGACTACAATTACACTGTTTCTAAGGAAAATATGAAGGATGTCACAGACCACATCTGTCAACATTATTTTCACGGTCCAGTAGACACCAAAAAGACGAAGGAACTTGTAAAGGTAAATATGTGCAATTAAACATTTACTGTGCAGTTTAACTGTAATCACTCAAATCTATACAGTATGGCGACAAAACTAACTCCATGAAGCAAAGTCATTATTGAGAAGGTAACAGACACTCTGCCAACAAAATCTTCACCAACTACGATTTGAAGTTCCCACAGCAGTGAGTATGAAGATGGCTGCAAGGACCTCTGAAATGCTGGTAAACTTCTAAACATACTATATAGCACTAGAACCTAGAAGATATCTTAACAAAATAACATAAAAGGTTTTATATCTTAAATTTCCAGATGATCACTGACCGTGTGTATCTAGCTGATGGGGCACGAGCTGCTAAATTACAAGCCGCTGTCAACAAATCACCTGTCTATTTCTATCTATTTGGATACAGGGGAAAGCACAGTTTCACAGAGGTTAATTCGGGAACAGCAAACAACTATGGTAAGACAGTTGCCATAATACGAGGGGCAGTCAAAAAGTTCCCGGAATTGTGGTATAGCACTGTAATGGTAGGACATATGGCAATGCTTACCTAATCACCTTCAAAGTAGGACCCTTGTGCACACACACACCTGCTCCATCGATCCTGCCATTGTTGGAAGGCTTCATTTGGAATCTTCCGGAGTTCGGCCATCGCATTCGATTTGATGTCTTCCATGGTTGTGAAACACGTCCCCTTGAGGCCCATTTTCAGAGTAGGGAACAGCCAGAAGTCACTCGGAGCGAGATCCAGAGAGTATGGTGGTTGAGTGATACAGGAATGCATTTCTCGGTGAGGAATTGCTGCACAACCAGCGTTGTGTCGAATGCGACGGCCGAACTCCGGAAGATTCCAAACGAAGCCTTCCGCCGGTGCTTCCAACAATGGCAGGATCGATGGAGCAAGTGCATGTGTGTGTGTGTGTGTGTGTGTGTGTGCGCGTGCAAGGGTCCTACTTTCAAGGTGATTAGGTAAGCGTTGCCATATGTCCATATGTCCTATCATTACAGTGCTATACCACAATTCCGGGAACTTTTTGACTGCCCTACGTGTGCAGTAATACTATAATGTGTATGTCAATATGTAGATTCACTGATGGAGTTTTACGTGCATTAACCTTAACAATATCATGAAACTGTAAAGTAAGAATAATTAATTTAGCTAATTCAGGTAAGTTAACAAGGTGAATAGAGGAATACACTCCATTTCTGTATTTAAAAACCAAAATTCACACTATTAATATCAGACCAAAGAATTTTGTAAAAGCGTAACAAAACTATCAAATTTACTACATGTCAGTTACAATAACAAAAAGAGTTCAACAGTCTGTATGGAATGGTGTTTAAAGAATGGTAGTGAACATGTGATTTCTGTTCTTTGTGACATGTGTCTAGATCTAGATATAAGTCATAATAACAATAATATTTCAAAATAGGTGCAAGCCATCTAGATGATACAGCCTACACCATTGAATATGCTTTCAAAACTGATGAGACTGAGGAAGACAGAGAGATGTCCAATTTACTCTTGGACATCTGGAGCAGCTTTGCTGATACTGGGTAATGTATCAAAGTAGTATGATAATATAAAAAGAACATATCATACTTCTGTTAACAGAATGATAACATGCTCTAACAGTACTGTAATAGGTTACCAGTTGCATGAACTCAATCTGAATCTCATCAGGGCATTAATTTCTCCGACATTCTCCTGATTGTTAATTGTACCCTGTTAAAAGCTGGCCATCTTTTTAATACCCAGGCATAACTGAAACGTGCTTAAAGTGTTCATGTGAAATATCAAGAGTTGAAAGTAGAAGTATTATCTGATTTCCAGAAATCCTGTTCCACCTGGAAGTAAACTGAAATGGGAACCGACAACTCCGAACAACAAACATCTCAAATATTTGTACATCGGTGGCCCGAAGAATCTTGAAATGCGATCCAGCGACAATCTTGGGGATTCTGACTTCTGGGACTCTCTACCAATCAATGAAAAACAACTTAGAGTGGATACGTCAATCAGTATGAATCACAGTGAACTTTAGGCTGATACTTAATAACAATTAACGTAATACTAAAATTCAAGAATATGTGGTGGAGATTAATTGTGTGGTTTATATAATATGAATAAAAATAATCAGTAGTATAGTAATATAGCAAAACTAATTCTGGGTAGTATATCACTTAAAAATATATTGGAGGGACAGAACATGACAGGTGAAAAAATAAAGTTTTGAAATGATCATGAACACCATGACTTCACACACATGAAATCAAAGAGAGACGCTACTGACTGACAAGAAAAATTCCTTAGAAGTCCATAATTACAGTCAAGTGAGTATAAAAAATTTGCAAAAATTATATGCTATACATACAATTACATGACAGGAAACCAGATACTATATGATATATTTTATGAGATTTGTGGTGAAAGGTTGATAGCAACTGAAACTCCTGAGGTTCATAACTGTTAAATCTTGTTTCATGTTAAAGAAGCTATACATAGTCTTATTGTGTATTACTAATTAGTACAGTAAAATATTCATGCACAAACAAAAATGTTTCTTATTTTCAATTTCAACAAGTTTATCTCTGTCAACTATATGAAACAAGTTTGGTCTTCATTGTCAAACGAAGAGTTAAGAGACCTGTTTAGTCTCCACTACAGTAGATATTATGTTTATTAAGAGTTAAAACAACTTAATACTGCCCCTTCTGTATATCTACATAATATAGCAAATAATCATAAAAAGAAGAGGGTTCCCATATCAAGTGTCATATTACCAAGGCATACAGCAACTCCTCGTATGGATGGGTCTGAAACTCAAATCCACATTAAGGGAAGAAAACAGATTATGGGCGATTGAGAATAAGGTGTCAGAAACAATATTTGGACTTTAGCATGAAGAGTAACAGTGTGATGAGTTCCATAATTTTTACTCTTCTTCCTTGGCTCTACAACCCAGTGTGGGTCTTCGCCGGCTCCATTCGGAGGGTTCTTGTTCTTTGAAGTGTGCATTTGTAGGCAGTGAGTCATCAGCCCACTGCCTCTGCACAATTTCTACTCGACCCTGATTTTTGTCTGCTAGAGCCATCTAGTAGAGAATAAGGAGATACGTGGGAGAGAAACGGTCACTGAATTTTGCTTACGAAACATCTCGTTCATGCTCGTAAGGTTCTTTTAAATGTCATAAATCTACGACACGGGGCCGCCGGCTTTACTTCCTAACCAAAGGAAGTTGTGCTATGAACTTTTATCACAATTAAGAATCCATCGACCTCAGCCAGGTTTGAACCCACAAACGCTAACCGATATTTTTACTCTTCACTAAATATTATTAAGGAAAACCTTTTCTCCATTGAGGTGGTTATATAGCAGCTACATTGCAGGGGAGGGGGGAAAGGTCATACCCAAGTTTATATTCACTTCATCTTACACATTTTCAATATGAAAAGCCGGGTGTCACTCTGGATGTAGGTAAGAGATATCTGATAGATTCATACAACCAGAAAAAATTCATGCAACTTGTATTTTCAGTTACTACTTCCAGCAGACCCATACTCTATGATAAACAAAACTAATGTAAGTAAACATACAATAAGAAAATTTAACTGAATAATTTAGTCCTACCTTACTGGTGACAGAAATTGAACAGGATTTGTCACGGCCAATAAAATTTTCTCCATTGTAGACCGCATGTTTTATGCCTCCAATCTCCAAGTAACCCAACTGAGAAAACAAAAAAACCTTTATAGCTGACATCTTCATCACATCACTTTCATTACTGCTTGCTAAACCAATGCCGGCTGTTGTAATTATAAATATACATGTATAATACATATTCGCATCAAATAAACTGCACAATAATAACTCAAAAACAAATAACAGATTAAAAGTCAAAGACAAGAACTGTGATCTTCTGGGTTCAGCACGGTGTGCATTGGTGGTTAGCAGGATTCACAACCCATCAGTACATGGGTTCGATCGGGACCACGACATTTAACGCTCCTGCTGTGATCCCCCTCTTTGTGAGATGATGATGAAAGTGGAGTAATTGTTGGAATGCCACAGAGAAACCAGGGAAACCCCGGAGGAAAACTCTGTGATGCCTAGCCAACATCCTTGCTCAACACAAGTTGTAAATCTGAGCACCGCTGGGAATAGAACCCGGGACCCCAGTATTACAAGCCCAGCGTTCTAACCGCTAGACCACCGTCTGGGTTCTGATACCAAGTAGTTTCATAGATGATTACCTTGAAGATGGATGCAAAAGGTTCTTCCAAAACATTGGTAACCACCTACAAGACTACACAGCATCATATCCCACATCATAATCCCATACTTTACAACTAGAATAAACTCATATGTAACAGTTCTTAATTAAATATTTGCCATATCTTGTATTACCATTACTAAATTAGTATTTAAAATTAAATATATGTAATATATCAAATTACCTGTTTCCTTTCCCCATCTTTGTAACGTGTGGCATCTTCCAAATAAAGATCATCTAGGACTTGTGTACAATCCATGGTAACATACAGACCCTGACAGAAACAAAAATATAATTTTTCTAAACTGATATAATACCTGAATCCTATGTAGTCTCTTCAGTATGAACGCTACAAACATCCAACAACCACATAATGTGATACACTTCATAAGCACATGCACCAAGTGCCACCTGTGTTCTGAATGACACTTCATTATGGCTTTCTACTCCAGTGTCATGGATTTAGTAACATTTGAACAACAAACAGTAACACGATTTCTCACGAAAATAAGCAAACTCACATCCAAAGTCAAAATGCTAGTTTGTCTCTTTTCAAATAGAATGCTGACAATTTATTTTCTAAGAGCAAGGACAGGTGATAAAATGCAGATTTATTACTGGGAAATTGAAACTGCATGGTTAAAATATGCTGTAAAATATGAAGAGTAACAGCATTATATCAAAATCAAGCCTCTACCACCGCACTCTAGTTCCCCCTCCAAAATAGAGCAACTTTACCTCAATTTTCGGCTCGTATAAGAAGTCCCAATATCATTATTCACTAAAATTCGATTATGCGTGATGGCTTATCGAACGAGTAACAGAAAATCATTACTTACAGCCGAGATCACAGCTCACTGGCTTGCTGAGTTAGGTCTTTCTAGCACAAATGTAATTATAACTCACACTTCGAGAAAGTAACAACAGTATTGAGAAGTTCGCAAGCTTTTAACACAAATAATCAAACTTGGAAAAACTTCCGCAACCATTACAGGTATGTAACTATGCGCGGTCACTGAAAAAAAACATCGAAACAAAATATGGCTAGGGGAGACAGTTTCGCCAATTGCGTTTGTAAAAAACTAAGTCATACCATCAATACATTGGTAGTATGGGTAAAGGAAGAAAATATCTAAGGGTTGTAGTGGTGAACGTTATTTCACGTGATAATTTGAAACTTCAATTCCCGTACGATGCATGCTACATATCAATGATAATAGTTCAATGAAGTTGACTATTTTGCATGTACCTAAAGTCCATTATACAATAAAAATGATGTTAGATTTGGGGTTTTCACGGCGGTGATGTTGGAAATGTTTCTGTAAATTAGGCCTAAATTAAGTTACATTCGTTTTTTGATGTCACACATTAACATTATGCATTATGAAAGTGTAATTATGCCACTTGAACTGTAGCTATGGGTATTAATTCATTAAAAGCTGAGATTTTGGGTTCTCACAGCGAAGAATATGAAGGTGTCTGCTGAGATATTGCACCGTGTAATCTCGTAGAAGTTTACCGACGTTTTGGAGGTGCTTGCTGCATTATCAAGGAGATCGCCCTGATGATGGAGACAGTAAACACCTCCGAAACGTCGGCAGACTTCTAGCCCCGACCAGCTTCTGGTCAGTCTATGGCATCACCTTCCTGTTGGCTCCCTTGCTTCAACTTATTCCCAACTGGTCCAGCCAAAGTTCTGCCTTGACTGACTGGTTCCTATATCTCAAACTGATTCCTTGTGCATGGCTTACTCATCAACCTGATGATGGAGGCAGCAAGTACCTCTGAAATGTCAGCAAATGTCTACCAGACGACACGATGCTGCAACCCAGAAGACAACCATCTTCATTCTCATTCTGATGATAGAGGTATCAAGCACCTCTGGAATGTTGGTCCACCTTGAAGATGCAGAATAAAATTTGTTTTTTCCTTTCCAAATATCATTTAAGGCTTACTTCATCAGTTTTTAAAACTAACTGTGTAAAGTATATAGTTATATTTTATCTACAATAGTGTGGTTATTAATGATGCAGCTTATGATCATACTTCTTTATTTTAAGATACTGTTTTAGCATAATTTTGAAAGTAGTAATTTGTAAGAGTAAGTTAGGAGATTGAAATTAAAACTTACTTTGATTTAAGTTGTTCGTATCTGTACTGAAGCTACAGTCAATATGAAGATTTCTGTCTTCTGGATTGTTGCGATGAATTCATTGCCCTGATGATGGAGGCAGTATGACCTCTGAAACGTTGGTTAACATCGACCAGACTACACAGAGCAACAACCCAGAAGACAGAAATCTTCATACTCACAGCTGTGAAAACCTCAAATCTTACATTGTACAGTCAACATGATAAAGTTTGATTTGTTTCAGAGTCATCATAGTATCAAGAATTAGATTTCATCACTGAAATGGAGGCCTTATCAATTTTATTAACTCTTTGTATTGTATTAGCAACTTCTTTATCTGGAATTTTATATCCAAGAGAATCTGAGAGCCGAGAAGTAGTTTCATTGGATGGTATCTGGAAATTTCTTACATCCCCAACTGAAGATCAGGAGAATGGGTTTAGAAACAAATGGTATTCCACACATTTTGAAAAGGTAAGTGAAGATGATTTATTCACCAATTGTAGATATATGAGAAGTTAACACATCTTGCAGATTAGTGAAAAATGCTGTCTTCAGCATTGTATGAAATTTGGTTACTAGTGATGCCACTCATTAAATCTGCTACTGATTAACAAGTTAACTATCTGAGACGTTTAAAAAAATTGGCCCATATTTCCTAAACACCCATGAAAAATCATGAGGTGAAGGGGAAAAATAAATTACACAAATGAATATAATAATGTTACCAGATGATATGGACCTTCAACACTGTGTGAAAATATGTTGCAGTGGATACAGATGCCTGTTCCGTCCAGTTACAATGATGTAACTGTTAATTCTGCAATACGTGACTATGTTGGTTGGGTATGGTACCAACATGAATTCTATGTTCCTAAGCGTTGGTGGGCAGATAAGCAACGTGTGGTACTACGATTTGGCAGCGTTCATTATACAGCAATGGTGGTAGGTTATATTTTTAGTATAGAAAATTAATATAAAGAAACAACAATTACTTTTCAGTTATAGCTTAAGAGCTTTAACATCATCAGAATGGGGTTCAGAGAGTAGCAACTTATTTGGTTTTTAAGACTGTAGACTTTTGAATTTATATATAGTCAGCTATTTAAATTTAAGACTATACTGACAAAGATCAATACACTCAAATTTAAGTAATGTGAACTTACTTTCACAAGTTATGTGATATGTTTTTGCACATACATATTTGCCTTTACTCTGACAGTTTAATACAGATATTGAAAACGTTTCAGTAGTAATATTAAGGATATTCTTATAACTGTGCACAAGTTATTAACAGTTGCTTTTCACTTACTATGAAACTGTCTTTCCAGTGGGTGAATGGTAAGAAAGCATGTGAACATTCTGGTGGACACCTGCCATTTCAAGCTGATATTACACAACTGCTTCTATACGGTACTGCCAACATCGTGACTGTAGCAGTGAACAATACCCTGACCCCAACTTCCCTTCCCCAAGGTTTTATTCAGCATCCCAATGATACATCCAGGTAACATTGCTCTAATGAGTTTAACATTTTATAATTAATTTTCCCCATGTACATGTAACCTTAAAATTTTGAAACCTTTCTTCAGAATTCCTTTAGAATCTGTCTGTTCATTATTTTGTGGTAATAAATAATACAAGATTTTCATTATCATGTTGTTAACATTGGTCATATCTTAGCAACCAACACAACTATTAAAGAAATCAAGAAATAACCAAGTATACACATACATTAACCTATATATAGTATGAGAACAGGGGATTTATAGCCCCATATTAGAAGGCTGCCACCCAAACTTTAGGATTTAATGGTTTAGTTGTATTCTGCTATGACAGGGCCAGCTGGACTGCATTAAATAAACCAAGAATTGATCAACCATACACATGCATGTATATAAGAAGTAAATAAAGGAATTTCAGTCCTCATTACATTAGTAGGTTTCAGGTTGAGTTATATGTAAGTGGGTTAGTATTCATGTCAGCTAATTTTATTTTATATTTCTGCAAGTCATATTGTATAGACCACATATTTTTGGGTGGGAACTGGAAAAAATGTTTGTTAATTAATCTTATAGCCAAGAACTATTTATGTAGGGATCAAATGCATTCTTATTTATTTAGGTATCCACCTGGTTATATACTGTTCCACCATGACTTTGACTTCTTCAATTATGCTGGTATCCACAGGCCTGTTTATTTGTATACCACTCCACAGACATACATAGATGATATCACAGTTATAACCGATATAGATGGAGACGTTGGTAAGTAATAGATCCTAAATATAACCGCACTTTGAAGACATGTTTGTTTTGTTACTGAATAATTCAGCAATTACTTAACTACTGGAATTATGTAAGTCAGAGGTTACATGTAGACAATTTTGGACAGGAAGTTTCACTTGGAAGTATTTTGCTGTCTTTTCTTTGGGAAAACGTATCAGAATTTCCACAAATATTTTCCATAACCTTTTTCACTTTGTACTTATTGTACCAGATTTTTACACAGAATCCAGATATAAGAATTTGAAAAAATCTGTGGATTGTAAAGGACATTAATTGATCACCAAATAAAGCACTTAAAAAATCTGTAAACATCTTGATATTGCTGTGACCTTCTGTGCTTCCATGTGCTTACTTTCACCATAACCAATATAAAAGAAAGAATACTGAATGATTTATGACTATGAATTATCTTTTGGCATAAATGGCACTGAATAGGTAGCCAGTGATTAACTTCTAACCTAAAGTTACAGGGCAGATTGCGTGGTAAGATTTTAACAAAAGTTTACCTTTTTTCCGGAAATTCCTGTGTGTTCATTAATAGGCATCATCAAGTATGTAGTGAAATATAAGAACAAACTGATGGATCTCTCTTCAACACCTCTCTGCACTGTTACCGTGTTTGCGCAAAATGGAACGAGAATAACTTCAGTTATAGGACTCACTGGCAAAATACATATTCCTAAAGCAAACTTTTGGTGGCCATACCTCACAAGCCCAACTCCTGGATACCTTTACACACTTAAGGTGAGTTTGGGAAATGTAAAACCATTCTGATCCTAAATGAACAGTTCCCTAATTGTGTTTACATGAAATACATTAAAAGCTTAATGAATAATTGCCATCATGTCCATTGTATAGTATGGTAGAGATATTTCATATATGATAATTCAGCAAAATAAAAATAAAAATGACTCTTTTCAAGCACATGTAAATTTTGTCCATACTGTAAACTTTCTTCCTTGAAGTCTACTTGAAATTACATTTTATAAACTTATTTTATTTCTAGATTCATCTAAACTCTGAAACAGGTGACGATGTTTATAGATTACCAATTGGTATTAGGAAGATCTCTTGGAATGCCACTACATTTTTAATCAATAACGTACCTACTCACATGCGGGGATTTGGAAAACATGAAGATTCAAATGTGAGTTTCATTGCTTCAAAATGATTTCAATCAGTTGTTCTGAAATTTAAGAACATTTGCTATATAGTGTAGAATCTTTGTTTTCACAGTTACGTGGTAAGGGTTTAGACTATACCCTGCTAATTCGAGATTATAACCTCATCGCCTGGCTTGGAGCAAATGCGTACAGGACATCACATTATCCATATGCAGAAGAGGCACTGGATATGGCAGACGCACTTGGAATAATGATAATTGATGAGAGTCCTGCCTGCACCATCGAGTGAGTCCTCTTTGTTGACATTGCCAATACCCATGTTAACTAACATTTCATAATTATCATTCTAAAAGCACAAAACCTGGAATATATTTAAATATTATTGTAATTCTTAATGAGATTGCACTGGGTTATATTCAGCTATTTTAAGAAATTTCTGGCCTGAGAAACACAGAATGTCTGCTCTTGTAGGGATTAGCTGTATCAAGTTCAGAACTTAATGAATAAATTATGGTTTGATTTTAATTGTATTTAGTGCTTTGGGAAAACTTCTTACATTTTCTTGATGTTACTTTTTATAAAAAATAAAAACCTTATTAAATTAATTAATCGCTCTAATGTCATGGATTGTGTTTGTTCATTTATAAAGTGAATAACGATAAATCAAATGGGATATTCGTAAGGGCGAAATACTTTCTTATTTGTTCTAGCTACTTCACAGATGAACTACTGCAGAAACATAAAGCAGTAATGACTGAACTGGTACGGCGGGACAAGAACAGACCTAGTGTTGTGATGTGGTCACTTGCCAATGAACCAAGGTCTTTCAGAAATGAATCAAGAAAATATTTCAGGTGAGACTATGAAATGAGATGTTTGATTGAAAAAAATCCCTTGATGTGTTTTGTGACAATAGTTCACCCAATTTTTTCCTGTTTAAAGTAGTCCCACACACTGTTTCTATCCATCTTGTGATCTCTCGAAGCTCCTGTGGTACGCTTCTTACAGGATGACATTCAGTCCCTCCATAGCACTTTGTATGATATTTGGTGCGTGTTGAAGCCTCCTTCCTTTTAGAATGCTTTATGGTTTGGAAAACAAATCAAGTTCCTCACTGCCAAATTTAGCCAATTATATTTCTGCGGTGCTTATTGCATACATGATGAAGATATGCTGCTCCTTTACAAATAATTATTCTGCTATGATCATACATCATACTATGAAACTGAGTTGCTTTTTCCCATGTACAATGCCAATGGACGACACAGGACTGCACGATCTTCCATATAAATTCAAAAATATTAAGAGGAAGAAAATCATTCACCTTTTTTCAGATGGTTAGATGTTTCATCCACAAATTCAATTTTTAGTATAACGTAGGTGTCCTTGGCTGTCTTCCTAAGTTTCACACAGATTTTAAGAATTCTGTATTGCTCTTTTGTTTCGCCAATTCTACCGTGCAACGTGCACAATCTGCATTACTTGCTTCATACATCAGTTGCATGTCTTTATATTAAATTCATTCCCAGAACATTTTGATGTGACTACGCGTGTGACAGTAAATGCACATCTAATACACAAAAATAAAAGAAATTACGGCATATCACTTTTATACATGTTTTCTTGATTACATCTCAGTGCGCTGGTGAATCTTACAAAATCGTTGGATACGACACGGCCAGTGAGTTTTGTGACCAGCCAGACAGCTGATACAGATAAAGCTGTAAGTAATCTGGGATATAAAGGTGTGCTTAAAAATATTATGTAGAATCTTTACATTCCACAAAAGGCTAAGAATTTTTTTCACCAGCTGAGTATCTATTAGTTTCCCAAGGACTCTCTTCCATTGAGTTAATCAGTTATAATGCTAAATTTATATATATATAAAGTGAAGCTTTCATGGCAACTGAAGTTGATGAAAGACTCTCGGGTTATGAGCTGCGTCAGGTGGCTGAACGGTGAATAAACCATATCTTCTGTCAACGTTTCGAGAACAATCTCTGCTCTCATCCTCAGGGCTGCTGCGTAACAAATCTGATCCTTTGTAGCGCACGCTACAAAAGATCAGAACGTTGGCAGAAGATACGGTTTATTCACCATTCAGCCATGTGGCACAGGTTGTAACCCAAATCTTTAATTAATTTACATATTTTATCGTGCTGCATATACATTTCTATGCTGACAGGTGCAGTTCATGGATATAATATGTGTAAATCGTTACCCAGCGTGGTACAGTGATTCTGGGCGAACTGATCTGATTCAACTGCAGGTGAAGAATGAACTCGCTAAATGGCATCACGTATTCAATAAGCCTGTGCTCGTTACAGAATATGGAGCTGGATCAGTAATTGGAATGCACACGGTTTGTTGACATGCACAATATTTTGTTGCTTATCATTTATCTCTGATGAAGTTAAAAAATCATGAATCTGGTATAGCCAGGCCCTTACTATGTTTCACAGTCTACACTTGGCTGTAGATCCCTTCTGTTCGTCATCATGGAAATATTTTCCTAGGACATTATCCATCGTACAAAATTAATTTTTTATTGTGTTTTGAGATCTGGATCTGTCTCAAGCCCCATATTTTACATGCTGACTTAAAATCAACAATCATGAAGTCTTATACTGAAACCAAAGCAGTCAATAGTACAGATTTGTCCATATGAAATTTCATAAATAATTTTGAAAAAAAATAAATAAAAACTACAAAGTTATACAAGTTGCATGAATAATAGTGTTGTTGTATATTATTTATTTTTATTTACTGTAATCGGGGCTGTTTTTCTGGCTGTACACAATGTAATGATGGACCTCCACTTTAAAAACCATTTTAAAGTGCGTTACTGGAAATAACCGAGTAATGGGTCTTAAAATAAAGATGAACAAATGTTTTCATTTTTAACTTATCTTCCATTTCAGGTTTTTTTGAAGATTTACATTTTGTTTAAAAAGTTAAGCATTATACATTTCTTGCCTCCTCCACCCTAGCTGCATTGTCTACCCTGCATAGCCTTCTCCACTTCACCTCTCATAACAAAAGCAGGCGACCTTTGCAAATCACAAAGTTTCTACCTGTGTGATGTCGTCATACGCATCAGTGAAACATATTTTATAAAGATTAAAGTATTAATTCAACTAGAATAATTTGTTCCCTCCAGGCTCCATCTTCCATGTGGACAGAAGACTATCAAGTGGTCACCTTGAAAGAACACTTCAAGGCCTTTGATGCTCTATATAAAGAAGGCTTCCTCATAGGCGAGATGATCTGGAACTTTGCAGATTTTGCTACACCCCAAGGTGACGTGAACAGGTGTCATACGTAATTCTTGTCCTTTGATTTTCACAGCTGAATCCTACGTATAACTTCAGCTTTCAGGGGCGAGCCATGTCAAATGCATATTCCACACATCACCTACCGCCTGCTCTATACAAGACTTCCTAAAACCCCAAGAAGCTTGGGCCTGTACAATCTATGCTATTTAATGATGCTTTATCAAGTACATAAGTTGTATATCATCCAATGGCAGTGATGGTGAGTGGAATTGTGACAGTAGTAATGGCTTATTTTCAGTATTTAAACTGCAGTGACTGAATAAAACAATGAAACAACCCATAGAACTGGTCTCGGGACATGAATTTGAGTCTGGGGGCTCATGGGCAAAAATGAGTGCTAACAACACCATTGTGGCATTTGGCCTGTGTGGTGCCGACATGAATCCAATAGGAAATATTCTTGATTCATCATGTGAAATATTATTCACCTTTCTTTGTACAGAATATATTCGTCCTGGAGGGTGCAAGAAAGGGCTTTTTTCTCGGGAACGGCAACCAAAAATGGCAGCCCATATCACCCGTTGGCGCTACTGGACACTGGCACAAAACTCTACCAACATAACACTGCCAGATGACTTGTTATTTGCAGGTCCCTAGTGTTAATGTTGTACCAATTATTTTTAAAGCTGCAGCATGAAATGTTGGAATCCCATGACGAGAATCTAGAAAGAACTTCATTGCTTCTCGTAGTACTGTTAAAAAGAAGGCAATAATGATTGATTCTTAGATATGTGAAGATTAAATCTTGGAAAATAAATTAAAACACAATCAGAGTTACACATTAACTTCTCCATATACAAAAGTACACTAAATGAACTCACTTCTTTGCTGCCTCCGTCATCACTCTGATGACAGAGGCAGCAAGGACCTCTGAAATGTCGGTAAACTTCTACCAGACTACACGGCGCAACAACCCAGAAGACAGCCATGTCTCTGTATTCTGGGCTGAAGCCCCGTCTCCACCCAGATAAACAATAGTCACCTTCGCTATGAGAACGTCAATTGTCATATCGCCAATAATCCTTTCTGCGGCATTAAAAAAAGGAGGAACTGCGTAAATCTAATCTTCAGCAATTAAGGACAATGGATAATTGTTTTTAATAATCCAATTTTGAGACTGTATATTCATTTTTATATAAAACTATCAATCCTAATACACTTTAGGTCATAAACTATCAGTAAATACCAAAGAAGTATATTTATTATATTGCACATTTATTTACATAACAACAATGGAAACAAAAACAGTAACACAACTACCAAATATATATAATAATATATCTGCTCTACATACATGTAATAAGATACAAAGTATTTCTATCAGCTGTAGTCAGGTCAGGTGGTTGCTTGTAGCACAAATTACAGGCAATTTTGACTGCCTCTTTCTACCTGTCTTCAGCTTTCCTGCGTGAACCAGCTAACTGACGTTCCACCGGCCCACGTGTTTCGTTTCCTGCGCTAAGAATATCACAGTTAAACAAATATTTCAAATGTGTTCATTTTTTTCAGTGAATGTCAAAAAAGTCATATAAACATATATGAAAAATACTATTTAATTCCTAGACAACATTTGTTTTTGTTCAAATTGTTTACATACAAATGAAATCAGTGATTGATGACATATTTATTCTTCACAACTGACGTACTGCTGGCAGAAAACTACGGCAGTCCCACACTTGCAATTCTGTTACTGCTTTAACTTTGAAATAAATTTTCCTCCATAACATGAAACAATTAAATTAAGTCTAATCCTCAATATTTCACGATGATAAAATGTATAAATGTTTCGTCTTCCAAATTTTATTGCAGGTTAAGTAGTCCATGATATTTAAGAATATGAGAATCATATAGTGAAGCATAAAATGTTATCATATTATTTAAACAATTTCCCTTCTCCTTTCAATTTTTTTATTTATTCTTGAGTAAGAAAAGAGTAAAATACACATGTAATTTTGTACATGAGGCAAGTGTCACAAGCAAAAGAACACAACTGTTTGTATAAATTTTATATAAGAATGTTCTGTCCATGCAATCAATTATAATTTATATATATATATTTATATTATTTTTAAATTCAGAGTTGATGATTATGCAAAACAATACAGTACATGTTGACAAGTGCCTATTTATTTTACAATTTAAACTTAATATTACCAAGTATTGCCAACAGCAGTGAATTGTTTTCACTTTAACCAATAACTAACTGTGAATGATTCAAAACTTGTTGCAATGGCTGGTGGATGACGTCAGATAACTCAATCTCACAGGTTTATCACCTCCTGTTGGTGATCCTCTGTTCCCTTTATATATCATCACAGTGGGAACAGCAAGAATCACAATCTATTTGATATATGATATGAGTAAGACACTTAGCTAAGAAGTACATAATATTTTATTACCGAGTATTCTACCACTAGAGGCTTACCACATACTGTCATGTTGGATATCTCTTACCATATCTAGTTCAGTTTCATATAAAGAAATGTAGCTTTACATTTAATATCAAACTCATCAGCAATATTTTCATTCTGAATTATATATCATTATGGTACAATAATATTACGCTTTTAGTATGTACATAAGACAATTGAGAATTCGACAATTCACTTTAATACATCTTGCCAATTTATGCATAACGAGATCAGTGGAATTTATTTCTCTTACAATTTTTAGTATACCAAACTTTAATGACATCCCACTGATCACTGATATTTCTTTCTCGGATTAAATTAAACGGACAGAGTGATCAACTTTAAAACACGAGAGTTCATTCACGAAACATACAGTGGACTACATATGCAGATATTATATAAAATAAGCCACGTTTTCTACATACCAACAAGAGTGGTACAGTCATCAAAATTTGGACTACTGAAAATAAAAAATTTGCTTATTTGTGTTGAATATAAATATGGACAACAAAATTGTTTTACTGGGACGTTATGCCATGTAGTCTAATAGAAAGTGACCAACATTTCAGACATGCTTACAGCCTCCATCATCAGGGCGATGAAGGAGATATTAAGCATCTGTGAACCGATCGTCAATTTCTATCAGACTACACAGACATTCCAGAAGACAGCCATATTCATACTCACCACTGTGAAAACCTGAAATCTTGCCTATTTTACTGTCATTCGAAATTCCATGACTGTACACGTTTATTCTGCAGTCAATTTGCAACCAACATGGCACGTAGCAGAAAGCCTGTAACAAAGCAGCCATTCAATACAAGCTGCAACTGATAGACAGGCTGGGCATCTATGGCACACAAACAAATAGGTTAGGTAGGGAACGCGTTGATTGTGATGGCTTGTTCATACTTAAAAATTAATTCATATCTGAGTACAATCTTAATGTATTAATTATAGTTACAATGATAAGTAAAGTGCTCAACTTGGTAATCTTTTGCTTTTCTTTAACTTAAATATGTTATCCTCACTTAATTTACTATATACATAACACTACATATAAAAGCACTTTAAGTAGCATGCTTTTCATAGCAACTGCTTTGTAATTAAAAATATCCAACATAACGGCACACCGCATTTGTGCCAAAATTTACCAAATTTTGGCTCTGGTGTTTCTCGTGACTGGCGTATCAGTACACAGACTAAAATAAAACTGAATGTGTTTCTCACACGTTAAACTATCCATTTCTACCTGTAAGTGAAGAAAATGCACCAACAAGTTAAAGATATATATAACTCACAGCATCAGATTTCAGAACATAAAACTTTACTATAATTTTATGTATTATACTACATAAAAAAACTTTTATGATTATGTGACATTCTATATGATATGCAAAGTTACTGAAATTGGTCTTCCTTGCTAAGAAATACTGAAACAATGTCTCTGGCTGGCATTAAAATGTAAATAGAATCTAGCCACGTAAATATATATAACCAAAACAAATCTGGAGACCAAATCACAAGGGAGATGTAAGTAAAATTTCAAAACTGGAGCAGCAGAATACTTTTACACATCTATAAATACATCATGTTACATTATACAGTAATTGCTATTTCCACTGATCATGTCTGGGAAAAACACATTAAATTAAGCCTGTCTTCTAATCTGATAACAACATAAAGCAATTATAATTTCCTTTACTCGGTCTTATATTTATACATCTTTCGAGATGTTTATACAGTTCACTACAATATCAGATCTTACAGATTATAAAGTTATATTTAGTCATAAGGAAACTAAAAACAATATCATTTTAACTTCTAAATTATGAATTGTGGTAGATCAAGTTTTGGATCTCAAAAAATGATAAATATTATAAATTTTAAAATACTGTACAACTCACATTAACATGCAATTTTATGATTTGTATATGAACATAACCTAGAAAAGGGGCAAAGCTATTGGGATATTGTTTGCCTGTTATTTGCAAGGTTGTGGATATGAAATGTATGATTATAAAACAGTAAAGCACTAATGGCTGCATTTTCACCTGCACTCTGTAAGTTACCCTTAACAGTGTTAGAATTACTGCAGTACGGTGTTAGGAACTTAGTGATTATATTGTCTCAATGTATAAGATCTATTAAAGTAAATGAACATTCTTTCTCCGGGTGAACATAATGACTGCAAATGTGACAATGAATGCCAAATCAGTTATCTCAAAACTTATGTACGGCTTAATCCAACAAAAACTCCCTCTAATATGTGTCTGTTAAGAAAGAAGACCAAGGAACATGGTAAAGTATCTCCAATCCTTCGATTTTCACTATTATGTGGACAGTATCTGTGCTTAAGAAAAGTAAAACTGTCCCGCTACACACCATGAAGGCTCTTTGGGGAGGAGGGGGGTTAGAAACTACTCATTTTTGACCTCAGCACTACATGGACATGAGTGGTCAGCATCAAGCCCCAGCTGCACTTCACCCCCTTGGAAAGAACCCCCAGTATTTTGGATAGGAGGCCGGGTGGGCCCCAGGGCTGATCTGGATTCAAAGGCTAGAAGAAATTTGTTTTGCATCTTCCAGGGATCGAACCCTGGTTGTCAATTCTGTAGTGAGACACTACACTGACAGAGCTACTCTGCATCAAACGAATGACATGTAAAGTTATGAAAAGGACTTGATGCAGTTTTTAGCCAAATTTAATAAATAGTTTGATGTTTAGAAATCTACGTGTAAACGTAAAGATGAAGTTGTCTCTGTGCTTAAGCCCACTGAGATGTATGATGGACTGGACTGGACATAAAGCTTCATGCATTTTTAATCATGGCACTAGATGGAGATGAATGGTCAGCATAATGCTGTACTCCTCAGAAACCACTGAAGAGAAGACTGGATGGGCATGAAAGCCATTCTGGATATGGTAGTAAAGAGAAAAACACCTGTCCCACTTAGACTCAAACCACGAGGAAGAGTACATACAGAAAAATAATGTAACAGCAAACAAATCTTTGTTCATACAAAACAGCCTTTCTTATTTCATTCAAAATCAGTAAAAACTTTGTGAAAGAATTCAGTCCACACCCCCCAAAAGTGTAGTACAACACATCTCCATCAGATCAACTGGTTAATGCTGTTTATGGAAATTATCTGTTTACACTGAGAATCATATGAAACTCACAAATATAAAAAGCAGAGTTACTTTTGATGATTTATGAACAATTCTCAACATAATTCTTACGGTCAATGATTAATGTCTCAGTTTTGTCTAACCAAAAATCAGTAGCATATGAATTAGTTGAGACATGAGACATTAATCAATAAACAAATAATCTAGACACACAATGAAAAAATATTAATACAAATATATTTACTTTGCCAAGTTTCTCCTAATATTTATGATAGAGTTAAATGCTTTCACTTTTTAATTACAAAACATTGATTTTTAAAAAGATAAAGGATTAGAAATATATTTTATGTTTAAATAAATAAAGTAGCTGCCATAGTTGACTTCAAATAAGACTATACTGAAGAGAAAACCATAAAAATGTTATGAAATTGGAACATCAGTGTTCCATGCATGATGTAAAGCTGTTATTAGTGAGAAGCATATTGTATGGGATTTGACTGAAAAACGTAAAATAAAAATATAAGTAACGAAACAGCAGGCTCCACGGGAGTCATATCACATCGCGCAGTACATAACTGCATATTTAAGATGTAATCACAATATGAAGTACAGACAGCATTAGATCACCAAGTTAAGATCAGCATCTAGATAAGAGGAAGTGACTAGTTATTTGATTCACATGAACAAGAAAGCAAGCACTCTCTTCCTACAACTATTATCTGATGGTAACTTCACAATAAAACAACTTTTAAATAGTTTTAATCTATTCACAAAGTGTTAGCATTGGGCAGAGATTAATTCATTTCTTTCTTCAAAATTACAGTAACTGTACTGAAAATTACTGGTTTCGATTTGCTGCTGCAGTGAATATAAATGTGGCATGACCTTGAAACAAAGTAGAGACATTGTGATGATTCTTACGTTAATCTGTACTTAGAATCAAAATTAAAACACCTGGGGCCCAAACCTGAAATAAACACTTACTGTAACTGTATACAATTCATATTTTCTATGAAAACGTATTTTAAATAAGTAGCAAATAACAGGACTTGACTGTCATAAAAATATAACATATCAATAGCAGTAATGAAAACTAAAATTAATACATAGGCATAGTGTGTCAATGTTTTCATAGACGCATCATGTAACAAAACACATCATTAAACTTATTGGGAATGAAAGTGTCAACATAAACTAGCTAACTAGTTGTATCAACCAGTCAAATGTAACAGATTTCACTCCACTGTACATGACATGAATGTCACGACTGAGTGGTTAGCATTCCTATTTCATATTTCTTCTTCATTTCAAGGTTTTTCTCATTCCCTCCACAAAAATGGTAAGATAGTGCCTTAAATTAGACCATGACCACTTCCTTCCATATTCTACGTTAACTTCAACATTAATTAATCATTCTAACATTCGACACTACACAGAATGAGCTATTGACGACACTGTTAAATAAACCACAAAGAAACAGAATAGCCGAAGATGCTTTTCTAAAAGGTTGGTATCTACCTACAAATCCACATGGCATTAAAACCCAAAAGACCAGCAATAAAAACTAAAAAACCAGTTTATCTTTTATGCACTAAGCTGTTTTTCAAGAAAACAGGTTCAAACTACACAGCTGGCTTGCTGGTCTGTCACAGCTTCATGGTAGTAATGTCTTCTGAAAAAGATCTTTCAGGTACTAGGTCAACTGGAAATTTTAATTTGTAATTTCCAAAACACAAAAGAGAAGCAACTGTAAAGTTACGATGCCATTCACTATGTACAGAATGTTAATAAATGAGTTGTAGAAGTGAAATGCTACTAAGCACTTCTGAAACAATAAATATTGTGAAAATAAAGATTATGATAAAACATTATGAACCGTAACACTCTTACAACTGAATATACGAGGTCTGTTCAAAGAGTATCGGACCTTAATTTTTCCCACGGAAACAAATGAAGCACGGGAGGTGTCCTCCGGTGGGAGGTTGTAGGGGACTTTCATGCGCATTCGTGAATTTTTCCCGCCCGCACAGAGCGTCAGTCAGCCTGTGAGTGAGTGACTGTAGTGAACGCCCGTCAGATTTATATCTGCAGGACTTGCAAACTCAAAAAGACAACAAACACTAGAACCCAGAGATGTCAAATTCCTGATTTTTGAGATACGTATCTGAGCGTACCATAAATCTGAGTATGACTGTATACCAATCAATAACGATCATTCTAAAAACTATTTAACTATCTGCTACACATTACTCAATAGAATTATCAGTCTTTATTAGCAACCCAAAGTTTGTTTAAACCTTCTGCAAGAACAGAATCAGTATGAATTCCAAGCATCACTTAACCAGTTTAAAACTTCTCTGTTCAGATAGTTAATGTAGAAAATGGCTGATATAAGATATTATTAAGAAATATTATCCGGAAAGTATGAGATTATAATTTAGAAGAACCTAAATAAATAAAGAGGACCTTACCTACTTTGTAAAGTTCACACAACTGTGAAAAACTGCCTACACAATATGCCTATGGATCAATTACATAAAGCATCTTGCAGCACAAAACAGCGTAACCCATTTTACATAACGTGGATGAATAATAAATAACTACATTCATTCAATATATCATCATTAATACATGTGGTTCCTGGGATCTGAGAGAAGTAATTTCTGAGATTTTAGTTAGAGTACTAGTATACGGCACATCTAAACATACTGATTTCTGGAGAGAAAAATAATTCATGTTCTTTCACCTCGATTCTGGTATGGGTATCTGCACATAGATTTTAATAGCCTTTCCCCTTTAAGAGATGCTATAAAATACGAACAGCTGTTGATCTGTCGGACTTCATTACTGTTAACGGATGACTTATTACATAAAAATTAATTAAAAGTCAGGATTAAGATGTCATCATATTTAGAAAATAATTATCATTCAACAGAAAAGCTGGAACAATAGACGAAACATAAACAGATACAAATGTTTTCTTTAAAAAAATTATGAATAAAATACTGCAGATTTAATTACCTTTTACAAAGTGCCAGTATGTAAGTCTCTCTACATTTCTTTACTTCAGAATAGGTGGGAAGTTTTTCATATTTTACGCTGAATATAATGGTAGAAAATCTGAAAGTTTTGTTACATGGAAAGTATCCAAAGAACTGCTACATACAACAGATAAAATAAAATACCATGCTCTTGAATGGCAAGCATGCTGTGCCCCTAATACATTACTTTACATTAAAGTTTTGGTGTCATAAAGTAAAAGTAACTTAACATTACTTTACTAACTGCACAGCCCTAACCTTCATTCTACCACAGACATGAAATCAGCCAATAGAACTGCTGAAAAATTTGTAAATATAATACAGAGCATGTTGAACAAACATAACCTCAATATTTCTTGAAATGAATGTTATCACTACAGAAACCACATAAGTAATTCTGTCAATAAGCAAGTATAGCTTTACAAGATCTCTTGATTAATATATCAAAGTATTTATCATTAAGATGATTAAACACATTGTTTATATGCAGATTCAGTGCCACTACCTTCCAGCAAAATTATTAACTCCATCAGGAAACATTCAAAAGCATTTACATCACATTACAAAGTTAGCTCTAAAGCAATAAAGTTTAGTTTTCAAATCTTTATGACTATCTACAGTCATTCTAACTCAACCCTACTGTTTCAAAATTACTTCCAGAAAAATTATGCAATAATGCTCACAATGGCAACAAAAACATGAGATACTGCACACTGAAATATGTTTAATATGTTGTCACTAACAATAATTACCGAGAGTTGACTCATCAAGCATAGTTTGTAACATCCAGCATACTAATAAATGATATGAAATATCAATAAGATCTTGGTTAGCTATTTAACAAAATATATCTCTAACTCCATCCTTAATGAGTGTGATTTTAAGACTGGAATGCACAGATGTGAGAAAACATATTTAACACAACAGTACAAGACACAAACCTCTTCAGATTTCTTTCAATGACCTGTAAGAAGACATTAGTCAACAATATAAAATCTTATTTAATACGATTATGAAAATTAGACCCGATAATCTAGCATAACATTAAAATAATATTAGAATATATATTTAAATAATATGCATAATACTTCTGAACAAAGATAATTAATATCACAATACAAATTTGATAACAAAGAACAATTAAAATAACCAAAATCAGCACTCCTTGCTCTGCAAACTCATAATGAGAATATACACATTAAATAGCATGGCACTCTGCATGAACATTTAACCATCACGAGCCATTCAAAAGTAATGAATAATTACTATTAAATTAATTAATATACACATTTCAGAAACATCTTATGCCTTTTTCTTTCATTCTGTGTATAAAATATACCTGTTGTTCCTCATTACAACCACATATTAGGCATTATGCCACACAACATAAAAGTGTTCAATAGTTCCTCATAAATTTAAGAGAATGTGACACGCAAATAAACAGATGCATTTGTTAAGAACAAATGTATTTGAATTGTAAATAAAAATGCTGAAGTTATTTATCCCTACTCCAGTTTAATGTTTTGATTTATGTAAGGAAAAGGTTACTGAGCATTCACTTGTTTGTATGAACCACCAAGAAACTTTTAAGTCTGTGCACAATAACATTTGGCCTACTGCGAATAATTTCATCTCTAGTTATATATATTTGCCGTGGGACTTCGGCGATGAAAACAAAAATCGGCCATTTTTAAAAATGGGAAGCTAGAATGCCACGAAAACAGTGCTGCAATACAGGGATACCGCAGGACATGATTTAGCAATATTCGAAGAAAATCTACATTTACAAACAGCACAGAAACAATCCGTACCTTATAAAGTTTACTTCATATAAACAATACCTACTTTTGTAACGAGTAACGACAAGCAAAGATCACTGCCTTCCTCATCAATTATATTTTCTATTTCTTTCTCTAGAAAATTCACAAAGGAAGTGTGAAAATATTCTAATATCATAATGGAGAGTAATTTTTAATATTTCATCCAGCCCTTCACGTGTATCGCTAATTTTGTTGCAAATGGATACAAAATGAACACAGACTACAACTTTGGCAAAATCATCTGCATGGTAAGAGCATGCACCGTGATCAAACAAAACTGCTAAATGATATAACTGGATCTCATCAGTATTATCCTATTTTAAGTGTTGGATGAACAGCTAGCATACAGATGACACCACAGATTCATCTGAAATCTGTATTTTGAAACAGATTCACAAACCTCTCAAGAATAAGCGTTTTCTTTCAATACAAATATGTTCCGCATACAGAATCAATTTCAAATAAGTTATGATTATTCACAGCATGAACATAATGGACTCAATGTGGTCTTTACTGCCCACTCAGCTACGTCAGACACAAAAGTAGAAAGAAGTATATAGTTCACGTCTAACTTCACTAGTGTTGTTAAGGTTAATCTCATCTTTGATACTGAGTTGTCAAGTTTCTAAGTACAGGATTCTGAGATGCAGAGACTAAACAAAGTGTATGCTTCTGGTGTTTGTACGACCAAAATAATATGCCACGTCCCATATGCAAGTAATCAGAATACGCATTAGACAAACGTAGCAAGCCGTTTAAAAACTATTATGCTGGTCTAACAGCTTGCATTTATTAGTTCAGGAAATTTGTAGAAATCAGTCCTTTCACGTTTACAATATGAAATATGTATGATAGATATCGGGGTGTTAAGAGTGTGGTATTCTGGGTTGTTATGCTGTATGGTTTTATGGTTGTATACTGACATTTGAGACACAGCATTTTCCTCCAAAATGTTGGTATACAACCACAAGACTACACGATGAAACAACCCAAGAAAACCAAAACCTAAACTCATACCTCCATGAAAACTTCAAATCCTATATCAAGATGTTAATTTATATATCAAAGTTGTTACCAACTCTTTGTAAAAGTGGTATACTTTCAGCCTTATTTTGACAATAATTTACTACACCAGAAAAGATGTAACAGCCATGTACTCTGATCCCTGACACATGGAACACAGCCTTATTGGACCTGCCTAAATATTACAAACATCCTGATTTAACAGGACACGAAAATTATATCTGAAAGTCATGTTGCTACCATCTGTGTCACATACAAAAGACTCGAGGCATTTTGTAGATTAAAATCATCAAAGAGTTGGTGACAAAAGGTTCCCAATTGCCATAAAGGCAAAAAATTCTAATGATAATTCAGATCTTGATTCCACATTCAGACTGAAAATATCACCAGTACAGAAACAACAAATTACGTACACATCACACTGTGTAATTCAAGGAAACACAATAAAATAATCATACTCAAGTATAAAAATATGGGGAAGCAAGAGATACAGATGTTGGCACTTACCAAAACACTACTTTTCAGGCTAACGAAACACAGCAACATACATAACCAATCTATAGGTATTCTGGTGATTGAACTAAGCGTACTTCATTCTCGTTCTTGAAAGTCTGGCAACATGAGATGCCTGAAGAATACAAATGACAGTCGATCTTGTCAGCTACTCCCTGAATGCAACTTCCTTCAATAAATTATTTTATTTATGATGTATATACATGTGTATATTCAGACCGTCCAAAACATTATGCAAAGAAGTAACGTAAGTTCACTCTGAAGTAATTACGAAGAAACAGCCACACTGCCTGTAATTCACAACATGAAAATTAATTATTTTAAAAATGCCGTGTACAATTACTGGAGTTCGTAACACTGCTGAGAAAGCATTTTAATTGCAGGAAGAGATATCAGTATTATGAAGAATTTGCCCTCAAAGTATATTTGCAAAAGTAATATCATTGAAAAATGTGAAAACACCTACGGAGAAATAATTAATTTTCCAATGTGCGGTAACTATCGCACTGGCTGAATTTGCAAGACGAACATTTTCACCATAAACTGAAAAATGAGACCACTAGCTTTATGACTGATCATGCATCAGTGACATTACACATTATGAAACGTATTTTGTCTACAAAGATGCACGTAAGACAAATACAAGAAAAGGTGTTACCAATGAAACTGACATCCATTCTGAGCATGACTCAAGATGAAACATCTTCTTTTAAGTAAAAGTTAATATATTTGCAAATTAATGACTTAAAATAAAGTAAATCAAGGATAACTGAACTTTTTCACAACTAAAAACATTGTCATTATCTAAATCACAGTCTGAATACTGAAATCGCACAAGTGGATCTTAAACAGAAAATTAATCAACAAGGACAATAATCCCCTCCTGAATTTATTTTAATACAAATAAAAATGAATCTGTCCAAGGTGATAAAATTAAATTATTAAGGAAACTTAGGCAATCAAGTGTGGCCTGCTTCAGTTAGTAGCAGAGGACAGCCTCATTTCTTTAGAGTGCTCAATGTGGGTCATATAGCATGGTTGACCATTCCCTTATATGAAATGCTCATTTACCAGAAAATGTATCTCATTCACTCACGCCTAGAAAATTTTTATAAAATTATCATACAGCTGTTCATAAAACATTATTCTTCAGACACAGTTAACATGAAATATGCAGCTTAAATAAATATATATTTCTCATTCAATTATTTATCATCATATAACAGATTCCTGCCCAAAGACTAGATTAAAAACTTACATGGACTTTTTATTCACGGTGTTCAGGTCTTCGCACGGTGTCATAACTGTCGGGAACATTGTCATCTTCGTCATCATCATCATCTAACAATGGCTCGGCATTGAGCAGTAGGTTATCTCGAGACGGTGCTGGCCCTTGGCTCAAAATATTCTTAGCAGAGCTCCTTTTCTTACGTCTTGTAAACACACGGGCTAGCTGGGCAAATTTTTTACGAGACACTGAAAGGAAATTCTCTTGTGGGTCAAAATCAAAATCATATTCTTCATCCTTTCAAACACTTACACTAAACAGTGAAATTCTGACTTTAGAGAAAATCAGATCAAAAAACTGACATCAAGTTCTCTAATTCGGCCACAGAAGAGCAGCCTAAGATGTATGACAGATCTGTACAAAACCTTTTCCAATTAATTTAACTGAAATCAAGGAAATGATAATTTACACACAGCACAGCAACAAACAAAAAATTCTTAATTTGTTTGCTTACATGTGGTACCGTTCACAAACCACACAACACCATCAAAACATACAAGGATCACTAACGTAGCTACAAACTTTAACCTATGCAACACGTGGAGATGAATCGTCAGTTTCGTGTCACTGCTTTCCACCTGGAGAAAGAGCCCCTAGTACCAACTACACAAGAAGTTGAGTGGGCCCCAGATCTAGTCTAGATCTGGATCCAAAGAGAAAAATTACAGCTGCTGCCAGAAATCAAATCCTGATCATTCAACCCACAGCCCAGTCATTATACTGACTGAGCTACCAACAAGACTGCAGAAAATAGTGACAAAATACCTACTTTTGCCCATGTTACGAAGGCGTTCCTTAAACAGTGCATCCTCATCGTGGCTGCCAGATAATGTTTTACTGAGTGGAAATGAGGCTAGAGTCTCTTCAGGTGGACTTTCTTCTGCTTGATCTGGAGCAAGAAACCAAATGCTATCACCTTTATTATAAATGTAACATGCAAATGACTGAACCTGTCAAGCAAAATGATTTGAAATTCACATCTTACAAACTATCAGGAACCAATGGTGGCTTGTTGAGGCAGATGAGGAAATGCACGGCCTCTGCTTCTTAACATCTAAAAGTGTGCATATAGAGTGAAAATTCTGAAAATCAAATGTATCAATAATAAAGAATGATGATTCAATGAGTAATTATTTATCTTCAATAAATAACATTTTCATTTTTTTATTTATTTATTTAGTGTTCTGTCTGATGACAGGTCCATATGAACAGGATCCTTCCATCCTTTTCTCGGACTGGGACCTGTTCATATACGTTCTTGGCAGATGATCCAGAAGTGGTTTGCCATTGCCTTCTTCTGTGTGTGAATGAAGTAATTGTTGGGATGCCACGGAGGAAAACTCCGGGGTGCCTAGACCACGGCCTTGCCCAACAAAAGTTATAAATTCGAACCCGAGACCCCAGGATTACAAGCCCAGCGTTCTAACCTTTCATACCTCATAAAAATTACAATCAATTTAACTGAAATTTGAGTTTCACCTTAATGAACACAATAGATCCCAACATACAAATGACTACCAGACTACATGGTACAACAACACAGAAGACAGCTATCTTCGGACTCAAACCTCAAATCCTACCTGGTATGAACGTGTTTTGTACAGGATAACAGGGCAAGGTTGCCTAGAAGAATTATTCTTTAACAGAATTTGTTTTAGAAAAAATAAAGTATCCAGTCACTAAGGAAAGCACGTGGAATCTAAGCCTAGTATCAGGATAGTACATAAATAAAATATCCACTTAAACATGGTACATTTGCACTGAAATACATAGAGGGCAACTAAATTTTACTCAGTGAATATGAACTGTTGGTACTTAAACAATACATTCAAGAAAGTGGTACCTTTCTCCAGTGTTGAGAGAAAATCTTTATTCCACCGCAGCTCTGCCATGAACTCTTCGTTCTGAAGAAACAGAGCAATCCTCTCATCCTCGAGGTATCGATCCAGCTCAGGATCACCAACTTCACATAGAACACCTCGCACACGCTGATTTTCTGCATACTTCTGCTGCAACAGCTGCTGGTTTATCACCATGGCCTACGCACATTACCAGTAACAGATGAGGCTAAACAGTCTGAGATGTGTAAAAACTGAACCACCTTAAATAATTAAAGTTTAATTCTCATCTTACGGTTGCATTTCAACCAAATTTGGTTGTAACATTTGATACCTCACTACGTGATAGTACTGTTCATGAAAATGAGTGTGAGAAAAACTAAGTTTCTCATTATGCAATTTCTTCCATCCACTTGCTACCTCCTCTGTTTGCCTGTAATACAAATGTGGGTCAACATATTATAATTAAAGTACATTACAAGTCAGTAAAGTCCACGCAATTTTTCCCACTTAGGTTAATTTGATATTGTTCCAATGTTGCAGACAAGTTCAAGAAGTAGCATCTCTGCATTCGAGATAGTAAATATTACAAGAAAAAACTAACCTGATCAGCTTTACGACAGCATTTCTCTCTTTTTAACCACCGTAGCCGAGCACGGCGTTCCTGCCAACGAGCATTTAAACAACGACCTTTTGTTTGCAACCGAATAAAAAACTGTTTCCACATTATATAGCTGAGATTATCACTTAGTTGTAACGCTTCACACCGTAATGTCAATTTTCTATAATAAACCGATGACTCACAATCTGACAAGTTACACTTACAGTCACACAGCAAGGACCCTGAATCATATGGATATTCCAATGAAAGAACAAATTTTCAACTACAGTTCAACAAAAATCAAAACTGAATAAAATAAAGGAGTTCACACCACCATTTTAAATATATAAAGATATTCTACTACAACATAAATGAAGAAGTTAACACACATGTATAATTATTTAAAAACACTTCCCATATCCTAATTAGTACAGAAATTCATATTTCTTGAAAGTTTTCAGTGCACACATCAGACACACAACACACGCCCAACAAAGGAATCTCTACGAAGAAACCCAGCATTCGAAGCTACAACATTTGTCACTGGCAATTCAAAACAAGACCCTACAAACGTCTGATCAATTTAATTAAAGTCACTTAACTCTCATAACACAGGCCGTTCAACCAAGGTCATCACTCTCTTTATAGAGCTACAGGGACGTCAGTAAGTTATGTTCTTCGTTAAGAGATTTGATGGGAACTTGACACACTTTGCACGTGCTGACTCATACAGAAAGAGCTCCTCTATGTAAGAAAAAAAAACAACCCAGAAATGTGATTTACTGATATTCTCTCTACTTTCCATAATACTAATATGTTGACAGAAAATAGCTGAATGTTAGTATACTTGATAAATGATGACCATTATAGATTTCTTCATAACCTTTAGAAACAAACATGCCCTGAATTTAAAATCTACAACACATATATCCTATCAAATCTCTCTTGGCCCATACCAAGTCCAATCACCAACAATTCCAAGTCATAGACATTTAACACATGTTCAAAACACTAAATATGAGAACCACTGTTGTTATTATGACACCATTCCATTCAACATTTCAGAATTTTTCATTTTAATTTACAATGGTCGAAACACATACTCCAGACATCATTAACAACAAGAAAAAAAATTCTCCCAACTATTCCCAGCCTGTCTTCTGTAAAAACCCCGCCTCATCCACCCTGGCAATGGCAACTGTAATCTTTGTTGAAACGTTGGTTAACATGAAATATCTAATACAGCTCTCACCTGAAAGCTTAAGTTATACATAAATTATATTGTGTTTCAATTTTGAGCATCTTCAGCAGCAGGGTAGACTTATACTGATGATGGAGGGAGAGACATGATACCAAAAATTTTACCCTAATATTTAGGAATCCAAACTTCATTCGGGTTGCATCCAAAACTCCATTTACAGTGATACCGACCTGCTTCTTTTGAGTAACTCCCCATGGAGACGGCGCTAGTCTCAAGAAGTCATCCGGTAATGGGCCTAGAAGTGGAGGTGCCCATCCTCGGACTGTTCTCATCGCTACCTCTGGATTTTGGATTTGTGGAGATCGATGTGGACTTCTGTAGCACAAATACTGTTGTCTCAAACAGTCTGTCAATATTTATAAGCACAAAAAGGACAAGGAAACTAGCAAAAAATACTTACTGTACTTCAGCTGAAAGAAATAGTGGTAAGAGACAACTTGGAAAACCTAGGCATAGATGGGAGAATAAAATTAAAATGAATCTTAAGGAATAGGGTGCCAGGGCGTGGACTTGATTCATATGGACAGGACAGTGCTGACAGACAGGCGCTTGAAAACACAGTAATGAATCTTTGATTCCATAAAATAAACCTCCACTGAATGCATTATCCATTCTATGTTCAAGTCACCCAAATGTCTGTTCCCTGCTGGTTTTATTATTAAAATTTAGTATGCATCTCTCATTTTCCCATACCTAACTCAATCCATCTTTTTTTTTTGACTTGATTACTGTACAAATTATGAAGTTCCTTAATTTTATCTGCTGTACAATAATAATAAACTCGCGTCTTAAAAGCGTTCTGTGAACTCATAAGAGTACAGTCTTGATGATCACAATTAGATACACATTCTGACAAGTAAATATCAGTTGCCCTACCTGGATGGTGAAGTTTCTTGTGACTTTGTTTCTGCGCTAGCACCGACAGGTGGTATTACAGTTAATGTTTCCTTCTGTTCCATCTCATTACGCAATTTCTCATTTTCATTATCTGTAGTCATTGCCAGTAACTGGTCAATGGTTGCATCCACTGCACCTTGATTTGCTCGTAACACAGCCTGTAACACAGAGTCTGTGATTAACTGTAACACTTTACACTCCCATTTTTGTTGTAACAAGAGGCCTGCAATGCAACAGAAACAAAATTCAAGGCATATATGTTGATGTTTGCAGCAAGTATCACAAGGAATCCCAACCTAAAGACAAAGTAATAAACGGTGGGCTTTAACACTGCAGTGTTAGTCAAATAATTTCCTGGATCAGAATCAATAAACCTGAATTTGAATCATAAACCACTACTTACAAACACTGTTTTCTTCACAATAATAGTCATCCTGCCTTAAGGGTTCAAATACATAGGGAGTGGGAATGGCAGTAAGACACCATGCATTCTACAGCTGTCACCAGATGGGCTTATTATTTGTAGTTTATTTGATATGCTGTCAGCATCTCAGCATTGAATGAGATTCTCCCAACCTCCTCACTCAAGGCGCAAACATGCTGTATTCACAGGCAGAACATATGCTCATTTTCAAATATTATTTCACAATTAAATTGTTTGCTGCTGTTTATGAACCAATTAGCATATCCTGGTGAGGAAGTACCAAATAAGACAACAACAGGTGAATGCTCATCTTCAAAAAGGCAGTGAAAATTTTCAGCACCTGCTGTACAGCTGTTCTGTTTACGTTTTTCCTAACAAATAAAAAAAAGAACTTGTTTGTATTGCTATATTCATGTCACCAAAGCTTACAAACACTGCTATAGTTAGGGTTACATTTAAATGGAACAGCCTGTATAAATGTGAGATTTGAGTTTCTCAAGGTGGTGAGTATGAACATGCCTGTTTTCTGAGTTGTTATGTCGTGAAGTCTGGTAAACTTCTACCAGACTGAATGGTGCAACAACCCAGAAGAAACCATTATGAAATCCAGTTGAATATAAAACATGGTTTTCCATTAATTTGTAATCTCTTTAAAAAATAGGTGAAAGGGATAAAAGTGTAACTTTACCTCTATCACTTCATCATCCATGTCAGGAAACATTGTCTTGAAGTCTGCCATAGCTTGATGAAATTCAAGCTGGGTAGTTTGTTGTTGAACTGTAGCCATTGTAGACGGCTTCCTTCCTCTCTGTGATTTAATGGAATTTCTCTCTCATAAATTCATTGTAAATGCTGTAATGTGTTATTAGGCTGAATTTGTTGTATTCTAATAATAATTCTGGTTTTCTTAGGTAGAAATTCATTCATCATTGTGACGGATTTTGCCGTACTGAAAATGACAACTGTAAAGACTGGTACTTACTAGAAGATAGGGTTAGCTGTTTGAACAATCTGTTCATAATATGTTATGTTATTAACCACAGTACAAGAAAAGCGTTGAGAACGAAAACCCAAAATTGTATTTAAATTATAAATCTTAATATAAAATTCCCAGAAGTTTGCTACACATTCTCAGATGGAATCTGATGGAAATTTTCACAAGGGCTGTTAGTATAGGGCTGTCTATTACCCATTTTGAATTCCAACGCCAGTAATTTCACTACAGAAGCGGTATATCACTCAAAATTCTACTTCATCGGCAGCCATAACTAATACGACTAATTTAGCGCTATCTCATGGAACACAAATAACGTTAGTTTTGGAGACTCTCTAGCAGTTACGGAAGCAAAGATATTTTGAGAGTCAAGAGTATTTGAAATTGCAAAGGACAAAGATTCTGGCATAATTTTTTCCAGAACAAGTCCGCCAAAATACAATGACAATGGAACAGACTCTTCGGAATCACCCAATAACTGGAATCAGCCAGGATTTATTTTTTCAGGAATAACCTGCCAATTTGATAACGAGACCCTCCCACCAACAACTTTTTAATTTAATCCTGTTTTCGCACTTCCAAGCAGACACGAGGAAGATGTAAATGGACAGACATAACGCAACAGAACACCAGGGCTAGTAGAATGAGACCCTGGAAGCAGACCACGAAAACCAACGTCACTACAAACCAGAATTTCTTCAAACCACAGATAACTCAAAACGAGAAACCATGGTATCCTGGGGCACTAGAAAATTGGAGCCCAGGAAACCAGAAATACTGACAAACTATGATGCTGGAAACGTGAAGCGTTGTAAGCCCGAGAAACTGATAACCTGAGACCCTGGAAAACCCAGAATCCTGGCAAACTAATATCTTGGAAATGTCTGATAAACTCCAGAAATTGAAACTAAACCAAATCTAGCCTAACCAGATGTAGTGTAAAATGCCCTAACTTAACCTAGATTAACGTATTCTTACACCTAGAACCTGGAAACCTGATAAATATTGTAATATGGAAACACCATAATTTAATATACAGACCAAGATTAGTTTGAATAAGATGTCACTTATAAAAATAAATTAAAACACCGAAAGTAGCTGAAAATAGCAAGACTACGCAGGGTAAGGATGTCCAGTACAAACTAGGTTCCTTTACATACATTGATATGGATGTTTGTAAGTTACAATGTGAAACTTGCATATAAAGCATGTAACTGTTCAGAAAACCTCCTATGACCCCAATAACACTTTACTGACCATTAAAAATATGTGACTTAGGCAATATAAATGTAATGATTTCTTCAGATGTTACATTGGACAGATGGGAGTATGTTAAGCAACACAAATAAACTGTGATCTGCTGCACTATGACACCATGCAGTTTTGAAGGACAAATTTCAGAGGAACATATCACCTAAAGCAGGGGTGGGGAACCTTTTCATGTTAGAAGTCCGCATTAATTTAGCTGTAATCAAATAAGGCCGCATTCAAGAAACTTCAATTAGATGTACTTAAAAATGTACATTATTTTGTAAAAATTTAACTGCTAAGTACTTAATAATTTCAAAAAATAAAAACTATTTGTTAATTTTAAAGTTAACTAATCTTTTAATGACTTTGTTGTGTCTGCTTTTTGTTGGAAAGCATTTGAATATTTGGTTGCAGCATGGAGTTCCGCAGTTTCATTTGATCCTAGGATTTGTTCTGTAATATTTGGATTCAGTCAAAAGGCCGCACTTAAGGACCTAGAAGGCCACAGGTTCCCCACCCCTGACCTAAAGCATCAGGACCAATCATAAGACCCACTTCTCCATGCAGATGGAGACACCTAAAATGTTCATAACTTACAAGTCTACACAGTGTCATAGCCTAGAATCACAATTGACAGATTATGTATTTATTTGTAATTATCATTGATGTTTATTTGGTTACACATGTTATTCTCAAAAACATTACTATTATTAACATTATTATTATGTAAGGTTAAAACTAAAGATTTGAGTTTGGATGACCAGTATAATGCAGACATTGGGATGTCTGTGTTCAGACTTGTAGCTGCAAAAAATCTGGAGTAACTTCTTCTAACTCAAAAGACTGATTCGGGATCCAATAAGGCCGTAGCAATGATGAGGAATCAGCCAGTTTCCATGACAACAAGATATTTTGTTGCAGACGATAGATGTTCACGCTGTCAATGAAGAAAATAAAAATTATGTCACAAAGTTATATTACATTAAATTCAACTCATACTTGAGCTCAAAAATCTATAAACCAGATGAATGAAAATGTAAGTTATTTTCTTGTGAATGGCTGCTGAACAAACTCGAATATTTGCTGATAGTTATTTAAACTCTCATGCTCACATATGGAATCACTGATACAGCACAAGATATTTCCTTTCTAATGCTATTTGAAATAACAAGATTGAAATTGTACATCTCAAATGTAAAAATAAAATAAAATTGAGAACATCAGTCCTCTATTAAAAAGTCTTACCAAAGTTCACAAGTAGAACACAAACTGCAACATACGGATGCAGTCTCTTGGATGATTACCGCTGGCTGGTATCACGGGGACGATAAACTAAACCTCTACTCTTCATTTCCCTAATAATTCCTGGAGGAAGCCGTCCACACACAGAGATAGCATATACTCCCTTTGTAAATCGATCTGTAAGTGTTAATACACAGGCAACAATCAACAATTAACAATTTAAATCTAGAGTGATGACATACTTGTAATTAAAATACATAGATTAGAAATATTATCAGTGAAGAGACATAAGTTCAGATGTGGATATGTTTTGAAGTCAATGGTGGATAATTGGTCATTGCAGCACATGGCTGGTCTGAGAAAAAAGGTAGTTTGAGGCAGAAAGGTTCTGAATAATACTCTGCAAACCACATGTAATAAAAATTCATGAATATTAGAATAAAATAACAATTTAATGTATTAATCAGTTTATGTGAAACAGATATAGGAAGTGAACCAAAATCCATTTGTATACAGGAGCATGACACATAGCAATGACAATGTCATGTTACCAAAGGATGATGATCATCCAGTAATCCACACTAAAATCTGAATGATAACTGTTCATGGATAATGAAAGAGAAATGGTGACTATTTCACAAAGCAATAACATGAGAGCCTGATTTCTATTCTTGAACACTTACTGATCCTTTGCCACTTACAGACCCAACTGTCTTCTGGGCTCATCACTGCAATCATCCTGAAAGCATAAAGGTCATTCATAAATTGTATAAACTTAACTTTTGGTCCAAGAAATACAGAATGCCCAACATAACTCTGACCCTACCTAATAGAATGCAATGATTACGGTCTGCATAGTATGTTATCCATTTCATGGTAGTTAACTGGTTGCTGATGTGGCATGATACATGATAGGTTCCACATTAAGTGGGCACCCAAAGTAAAAAAGGCATTTTGTGACAAGCCAGGGAATTAGTTATGTCAAAATCTCATTAGGTAACCATTATTAACACTTCAAGTCACATAACTGAACCTCACACATTATGTGTTACAATTCGTTCTTCTTCAAATATAAATGTTGGTAAAAATAGCCATGAGATTCGGGAAGACATACAACTACAGAACTACCATAGACAAATAATCAAAACGTACCCATCAAAATTTGAACTGGTACAATCATACACATTATCTCTGTTGTTTTTCATCCTAAGAAACTCATCACAATTGTCGCATCCATCATATTCAAATTGCTCGAAAGTCTGGAATGAGAATAGCAGATGTTAGTCTTGCAACACACGAACTTTAGAAAGTAAACGGAGTTGTGATACAATGACATTACAAGCAATAAATAAAGTTGCTTCTCTAATAGAATAGTCCTTGCCTTAATAAGTGAACACACTAAACATGCTCTCAATCCTCGTAAATCTTTAGGAATTGTTTCCATTGACATTTTTGAAACTGTTTTGTTTTAATCCAGTAACAAGGTCCAACATTTACTATCGCAAATAACAACTTTATTATTCTCCCACACAACCGGTTTAGCACAAGCAATACCAACATTATTTAGTACCACAGACAATTATTCGACAACCACGGATTATAGTACTTCTGTCCTCAGATAATACAAAATACCCTGCCAACGTTGTCTACAAAGAGCATCTTCTAAAAGGGCGTTTTAGTTTTGGCGTGCAAGGTTAAGATCCATTTTTCATACATATGTTAGACAGACAAAAAACCATCTGATTCGTGGTCTTCCTAATTCCCACTTTCCTGGAGGTCTACAATTGATCCCGTATTGCTACTATAGCCTAGCCCTCAGTTAACATCATTTCTCCTCACATACCATGCTATAGTTCTTTTAACCTCAAATTCCATGCATCACTTCACAGTCTTGTTTGTGACCACAACCCACATTTTTATCACCATAAAAACAGCAAATCTAAATTAAAGTAACATAATAAAACATTCACTTAAAGACTTATATAAAGTTTGCTTAAGCTTGATGCTTAGAATTAACTTACCTGTCTTCTTCCATTTCAGTCAGTTATGTCCGTTCACTAATTTTCAGACCTCCTGTTAGCTGAAAGAACTTCACAGTATAAATAATTTGAATGCATGCATCACTTATATAAATAAGTTTACGAAGTTTAATACAGGTACAATCTTTTGACTAGTATCATGTGAGTACATACCTTTCATCAGTAGGTTATGAATGTATGATTATGTCATCAAACATCTCATAAACAATATCATAAAGAAACAACTTTGTGTGCAACAAAAGTATATAATAAACATGCTGCATTACTTTTGCAAATTTCTGTAATAAATTACATCCTGTTACTTATTGCATAATTTATTATACCATAATTTCTTTCAGGATGTTTACAAGAAATATTTTGCAAAATTTTGTAAATACAAAAGAATAAACTCATCACAGAGACAACTAAAGTATGAATGCCATATTAGAAATAGAACAGAATTCCTACACCAGACTTCCACACTGAAATTATTTAATCACAACTGTGAATTCATAAATCATAACAATGAATCAGTCTTCAACACAAATACATAGTTCCATTTCAAATCCATAAAGACAATAAAAATTAACTGCCTCTTTGCAAGGCAGAAAATTATGTCTCCATGAGTAGGGTTACCAACTGTCACACCACTATATCCTACAGGAAGATAAATCACCCAGAATGGGGTCAACACCTTTAATAACGTAATCATCTCTGAGATGTCTACAAAAGCAATATCCTGCTTCTGCTGCCACACACAGGTCTACTTTAAGACACCTTGAACATATTAAAATCAACTCTGTAAATTATAAAAGCTGTCTATTCCATTGTCAGAGATATAAAGTGCATGACATACATAATTAGCTACATTTTAAAGTAAAATACCAGCCTAGAATTAAATTCCAGCTTCTAGAATGTGAAAAAGGTAAGATAATAGAATAAGAAAGATGGATGTGTCAATTCTTTATTCAACTGCATCTAGTGACAAGATTAAGAATAAGTGGATTACATCTCCACTCCACATATGCCTGCATGACCTGGTACTTACTTCAGCACCAGGAACAACTTTACCTCTACCATTGAAGCAAACTTTTTTCTGGACATTATCCATAGTCCAAGACTAAATAAAACCAATAAAACCACAACATTTCGGAGATGGGAGTATATCTCCGTCTTCGGGTAAAACCTACCGTTGGGCCCAATCGATAGGTCTAATCCCTATCTCCGGATGGGTCCGGAGATAGGGATTAGCTCTATCTCCGAAACGTCACGGTTTTATTTAGTCTTGGACGATGAATAATGTCCAGAAAACAGTTTGCTTCAACAACGCACCATCATCACAAACTTTCAGAATTGAGTTACCTCTACCATCTTCATTCAGTTCTGCTACTCAAATGTGAAGTCTGACAAATGAATGGAAGTTACACGAGTCTATTGATTTAACTCGGAACTTACAGTCTGAAATACTACCGTGTCAAACGCAAGGTGTATGTCTGTGACACACAGACAGCAACACGAAACACAAAACAGCTGCACAAAGTAAAGTAGAGTTCGTAACAGAATCAATTCAGTATGAGTCGCAGTCAACAGTGAATGAAATTGTTCGTTAGAAATACTGTGTGTGTAGATAGCTTGCTTTACAATGTTGTGGTACCCAAAATCAATGTCTTGGACATAAGACAGAATCCTCTACATCAGTGAGAATGACTGCAGGGACCTCCAAATCCAAATTATACTGCCCGTCTCTTGATAATTTCTCAGGTCCTCGTAGAGCATGCTGTTTGATGAAGTTCTTTACTATACCAGCTTGAACAGTTGACATGGTTAGTCGACATCCCCAAGTCACCAGGGCCAAAGGCTGCAAATAAAGGTGTCTTGGTTTCACCGATATACGTTTCGAAACCTTAATCAAAGCCTCGGACACACGGACCTAACAGAGGACCGAATGGAAGAGGAGAACTGAGGAGGCCATGGACCGAAAATGGACCGGAGAGCTATAGAAGAAGAAGAAGTTAGTTAACCTTTGCCCATTAATCATCAAACTAATTTCCTGATAAGGTACACACATTTGTGCTTGTCTAACAGAATCAAAAAATTACAACAGTATTTTTAATCTTTGGTGACATCAATATAATAAGACAAGCAAATTATGTTTTGCTTTTATTTGCTATGAAGAACTTATATACCACCTTCCTGAAGTGAAGCATCCATCCTCTTTAGGGTGTTCTGTGTGTTGCAAAGTGTTTCTGGGTCAGTGTATGCGACGGTCTGTTCAATATTATGCTTCAGTTCCTCCAAGCTTTGTGGGTTATTCAAATAAATTATTTACCTGTAAAACTCTGACAGAAATAAAAATGGCAGGTCCAGAGATCACAGTGGCCAAAGGCCATAAACAACAATGTGGAACATCTTGTATATGTATCTTACCCTTTCTTCATCCAGTAATGCCAGTGGAGTAATGACGTGCCTACGGAGACAATTCTTAACCAAATATCTCAGGCGATTCACTTCCAATTTGTTGGCACAAGGATGATACAACATCACGACAGCCCCATGCTGGAACCAAAATAAAAGAACAGTAACATTTCATTTAGTTTTCTTTAGTACAGATGCGATTTATATTTCTTATATGTATGAAAGTCATCCTCGGTGGACTAATGGTTAGCGCGCTCGCCACTGGACCCAAGGTTCACGGGTTCAAACCCGGTCAAGGTCAATGGACTTTTAAGGGTGATAAAAATCTGTAGCACAACTTCTTTTGGAGGGGAAATAAAGCCGGCGGTCCCATGTCGTAGATTTACCTTACGAGCATGAATGAGATGTTTCGTAAGCAAAATTCTCAGCGGCCATTTCTCATCCAAGTATCTCCTGATTCACTACTAGATGGCTATAGCAGTAAAATCAGGACTGAGTAGAAATTGTGCAGAGGCAGTGGGCTGGTCTCTCACTACTCACAAATGCACGCTTCAAAGACTAGGAAACCTTTGAAAAGGAGGCGGCGAAGACCCACATCTGGGTTGTAGAGCCAAGGAAGAAGAAGATATGTATGAAAAAACTATTAGGGGGGAAACCTTTGGGCTCCTATTATTTACACAGCAGCTCATACACAAACTGCAAAACGAACTTCAGCATACTGTTATTTACCTCCAAGTTGTGGACCCATCGTTGTCGAGGTACAAACTTGTATTCACCATACTGTGGCCAAAGCGGTCGGTGAGTGCCACTGAAAAATGCACATCAAAGTTAGTGTAAAAAAAATGTGTGTGGTGTTATTAAGCAGTTCATGCTAAATTAATTAATAAACACAACAGTCTGTTAAAATGACAAACAATTTTATCAGAAAGAAAAAGCCAGACCCTAATACAGTATATGTTTTTTGGGGTATAAGGTGGATACATCATGCACTCAACACAAATGTACTAATGTGTACAAAAACAATAAATTGAAGACTATCATTTAAAGAAGTACTTACTACGTAGGTATGGCTGACTCATAATGTATTGACTTATTCATACATTCATGTCGAGCCTGGAAAGGAAATGACAAATCTATTGAAAGCAAATGACATAAAACATCAATTTTTAGTGTGGACAGAAAGAACAAACAAAAGGAAGCATTAAAATAAAATTTAAAGAAGATAAACACCTTGGATGGCAATTTAACAAGTAACAGAATGAAATGGTATGAATATGTTAAGAAGAAATTATGAATGAATCCCAAAAGAGATTATAATACAAAAGTAAAAGAAATACGCCCAAGAGGGAGACAAATCAAGATGGAACCAATAGGTTAGTAAAGATGTCAAATAGACGGAAGGAAGCGTGCAAGTTGTGGGAAGATGCAGACAGACGGAGAGGCTTAGCTGCTAGACAACCCACAAGAAGTGGAAATGTCTTACGAGAAGGGCGAAGCAGTAACTGAATGTTATGTTTACTTAATTTTGAATAATAGAACAAGATAATATTCTCAGTATATTAAAAACGTTTTTCTTGATAAGTCTACATGAACCTTGTCAATGAGAAATGGATAATATATTCAGATGTCAAGTTATATTGCTGTTTTATCAGGTATGTTTTCAACACATGACTTTTTTATGAGTTATCCAATTTTATAAATATATATGTATTCAAAAAATTCATTAGAAAATGTATTACACACATTTCATATACTAAAATTACTTACTGAATAGTACATGGGAATATTTTCACATTCCAAAATTGGTTTAATTCTCCTATCTGGAAGATATTTTCTGTTGTAAGTGTAGCAAGTGTAATCAGCTGGAGAATAGTCCCAGTCCAGGGTGAGATTTGTCTGGAAAACAGGGCACAAATATACACACACACACACATACATAAATCTATTTCAAAAATGGAAATTACTTTCCTGAAAAATGCTGCTGCTGGTAAGACCAATATGCATTATAGGGAATTAAGGGGTCATGACGTAGCATGCATCCGCACTCATTAATGCCTAAATCGGACATTAAACACAAAAAGGTGTCACAAAGCGAAACGCTGCAATGTTAAACTGGAAGTTAGAAAAGTGGTTTCAGATGCCATTAACAAAATCTGAGTACCTATGAGGGGATGATGAGAAGAGGTACAATGTTGGACTGAAGCACCCCAAAATCAAATCTGTTTAGCAAGTTTTAGTGACAGTCTCGTGTAACATATTTCATCAAAACCTGTTCAGACAGAATCCAGTTGTTTCAAGCATACACATACAAAAGCAATAACATACGCTGGACGCAAAATATCTGCGAACCTGGGCTAAGTCACAATAAGAGACGAAGGGAAGAAGAAAAGCACAAGATGCCTTATGAGCTACCCACACCCAAGCTGGCTGGCGACCAACGTGTCATAACGTGCGTATGTGTAGTAGTCAACACGGCTTCAAGATATCTTGCAACAAGTTTGTTACGTATTTATGCGTACCTTAGCATCATCACATTCGGTAGTTACCACACCCATGCGAACTACATGTTCACGATCATGAATGTCTACATGTTCACTGTATGGAGGATGTGGCATCCAACGACCTGTCCATTGGCTCTCGGGAGACTCTGTTACTGGTAGCTGGAAGTCTCCATTTACCACTGCTGCCAGGAAAGTCAGACTGGCACACACACCAATGGCTCTCCAATGCCAGATGCCACCATGCATATCCAACTTTATCTATGAACAGCAATGTTAATCTCTGTGGATTCTGAAAGACTACAGTCTGGATCATATATCAAATGCTTTTTTGTTACAGACACGACGACAGGCACCACAGAACAGAGACAGCAGAACAAGCAGCTGCAAAATATTCAAGGTCATTTTCAGTTTTCACATATCAAAAAGTGACTAGCAGGGAGAAGAATGTCTTCTTGACTTCTAGAAGGCATCATTTACAGTTTTCACATATCAAAAACTGACTAGCAGGGAAAAGAATGTCTTCTTGACTTCTAGAAGGCCTGCATTACCAAACTGGGAAAATGGTGGGTCAGAATAATTGGTTTAGGTGCTGTGTAATCTTGTGGCTGTTTTCCGAAGTTTCGGAGAAACATGCAGCCTCCTGAAAACTACATAGTGCAAATCTAAGAAGACTGTAATCCAAACTCACACTGCCATGAAAACCTCAAATCCTACATCAGAACAGTTAGTGTTAACAGAGAACATAACATGATCTTAGTGACAGGGTTCGGGGCTTTGTGAAAGATCTCTAAACCAAAAGTAAAAGAACTAAATTCATGTTGAATTACATTCCCAAATTCCACTTCAAACCGAATTTCCTTCCCTTACTGCATTATTTTGAAATGCTGCCTAATTGGGAGCTTCACGAAACGTGGTAAGGCGAGGGAACTGATACAAATTTTAAACTTTTGCTTAAGTAAAAGAAAACAAAATGGGGAAGTATTTATTCCTAAATTACAGTTAAGGTCTAACAAGTGTAAGATATCACTGTTATCTCTAATTCAATCAAATGTTCACCGTCTGCGGTGTGGATGTCGAACTCTATTAATTTTACAAGAGTATTTTTAAAAGTATTACAGCTTTCTCCGTTTAACTTCAACTGATCCTGTCCCACGTCTACTTAACCTATTCCAGTAAATGACATATGGCAAAATCCCGTGTTAACCACAAAAAATTCAAAACTCATACAAAAATATGTAGCAAGCATCTTCAAATTAAAATATCTGCACTAATATCTTCACTTTTAAATGCTATGTATCTTTCAATACTGGCAAAGAACTAATTTATCGTACTTTTACTCAGTCTCTATTAGCAACAAGAACTTTAAACGTGACTGCACAAACCTAAGATACCACATAAGGACGAAATTTGTGCGACATCTGTTTTTAGTCATCACATTTCCAAAGCATGGATTTTCAGCGTCGGTGCCTCAGTCAGTAAATTATGTTCAAAACTAACCTCATCAAGGGACCCAGGAGATGATTTGCTGGTGTAAATGCTTCTAATTAGAGCTGCAAAATTATTTTCCTTCCTATGAACGGTATTAGTGAACTGTGTGTAACTACCATAATTAATATACGGGTATCACTACCACAAAAGAATCCTCAATAGCATGTAATTGGAGACAAGTCTATCTCGATATCAACAATACCTACATTACATGACATAAACCTGTGAGCTGGAAATATCACTACTACTATTCAACTTAAACCACTACAGATATTATATGCAGAATCCGTATGTTCAAACTCATATAACTTCTGTTACAGTAATGTTTTAAAAAAATGTAGCCTAATGGCATGGTTTCCTGCCACATGTAATATTTTAGTCAGATCACAGTAATTCAGACCGAATTATTGTAACATGATATGAAATATGTATCAAAAAAAGACTTGCAGGTCAATAATTGTTACAAACACCTTCAGACTCATTTTCTTCAGCAAGACCTATGAAACTGAGAAAGGACATGGAACATGTGGAGTTACTACAAGGTAGGTTCACTGAATTAAGTAGTATGGGAATTACCACAGTATAAATTAAATTTAGTATGAGTACAGATCAGATGGGACAATGAACCAGCAGACAACACAATTTTCTATGGGCAGGATGTGTAGCACATGTGGAGAAGGTGTACAATGCATACAAAATTGTGGTTTGTAAACATTAAGGGAAAAGACAGTTTGAGAAACCTAGATTCAGATGGGAGAAAAAAAGTATGTACCTTAACCTTTACTGTAAAAGAATAGGGGAAAAATAATGTATTACAAAGCTGCCAGTTAGACTTTAACTACAGGATTTAACGGTTTGCCAGTGTGCAATTGTGATGCAAGTAGCTAATGATATGTTCCAGTGGCAAACTTGCGAATACAGTAGTGGACCTTCAGGTTTGATAAAAGGTGGAAAATTTCTTGATTAGTTAAGCTACTACCAGCCTTTCAGGAAGGACTCTGCTTCATTATGAAAGTCAAACACCAATATTCTCTTCAGGTTTAAAAGAGTATTTATTTTTAGATGTGTTTCTCTTGACAATTTTGTAAACTAGCATTAATTTCTTTTTAAAGTGTGGACCTTAATTGTCAGCATATTTCATAGTCCTCTAGTTGCATAAAACATGATTTTGGGTAGGATATCAGATAATATGGGAACAACACAAGTCACCAAATTCTGAGATTCCATGGTAGTGTTGTAGAACTGGTTAAGTATTTTCGGTTGTAGTATCGTATTATTCATATTAAACAAACAATATTTTGAAGAAACTCACGCCCTAATCTTCATAGTTCAAGTGAAGACAGTTTGAATAATCAAACCCAATCAAATCTTGAGATCCAGTTACAGGTAAAATGTAAACATTTTTCTTACCGGAGTTGGAAAAAAGGCATTCGGTGGTCATTACCTTAGCCTGGCTTGAAACATCTCAAAACATTTTCAATTCATGATTGGTTTATTTTTCTGTGTATGTTTGTAATTTATTTTAAATATTGTTAAGTTCATTACAAAAGAACATGAAGACTAGAGCCAAAATACTTAACAGTCTTGCTTCAAATTAAAAAATGTAGTATTTGCATACTACAAAACAGTTTAGAGCAGTATGATTAAAAAACAAGAACTTGGAAGATAATTTATATTTTCACTTCCAACCTCAAAATGTACATTATAATAATTGTTAAAATGGATCCCTAAATTGAATTACGACAGCTCTCAACACAAGATGTCACTATGAAGATTAAACATGTGTGGAAAAAGTATAATATACTAATACAACATAAATATAGATGCCAAGTACACCAATAATTATTGTCTAATGTTTCTTTTTTATATATTTTTTATGTTAAAGAAAGAGTTATTTTTACAGTTATAAGGTTATTTACAGATACAGAACTTTAAACTGTTTAAGAAAGGAGTTTGTTCAGGGAGCCATCTTGTGATGAGAGAGGGGGAAATGGATTTCAGCACAACCACTACACAAGGGCAACACATACAGACTAAAGGGTCACAACACACGAGTGAGACCAGGACACCTGCCATCCCACACAGTCTTCAAGTACATTGTTTGCTTACCTCACAACAGAATTGTGATGACAGGACTCACAGCACAACATTAAAAGAATTATACATAATAATCCTACACTTATTCCTATACTGCATGTTCAGCCAATTTACTTTTTTACCTAAACAACAGGATCAACTTAAATGAAAAGAACTTCATAGGAAAATTAGTTGTCCCTTTGAAATTGAGCACCATATAGCAATTAATGGCAGGAGCACTTACCACACTTCAAGAATTAGTGTGATATACAGTTGACAGGAAGAAACAATTCACTTACTAGTCCAAGGGTATCACTGTTACAGAATTAAATTAAATTAATCTTTCATCATAGGGGATTTAAACACCCATATTATGGGGCCGTTGGCTGGACTTCCAACTCCAGGGTCAACAGTAGCATTAAACAGCGACACGGTCAGCTAAAATGCATGTAAATCGTGACATACAGTTGATAAGGGCTAAGCCACAGCTTCTACTACATCTTAGAAGATATTCTTTGTAGCAAATAATAGGTATGTTGAATTTGCTGACATGACTCCTTTGAAGCCTGTATTTGGCAGTGATAAAACTTCAGGGAGAAAAAAAAAGAAGCTTCTTTAAAACTTTGTAGCCTTACTGTTAAGCTCTTCACTGTCCCATGTCTGCTTATGTTAAATCAAGAAGTATCACTAAAGAAGTTTATGTAAAATATAGTTTCATGACAATAAAAAATAAAGACTGTGACATAAGAACTGAGGTATCAAAACTTATAGAATCACGGGTCAAAATGCATGATACTGAGATAAATTGAAAAGTTTACTTTGTTTGCCTTCATATCACTTCCAATAAATGTACTACAGGAAGGGTAAACAGCTATGAAACTTGCATATATATATATATATATATAATAATGCTATGCAGTTTATAATGGGTGTAAAAAAAATGACTGAAACACTCTGTAAGGGGTAAACAAATATGGAAGAAACAGTGAATAAAGTATGCTAGAACACAAAATATGCTTACCATACAAAACTGATAAATACAGAACATAACACTGTACATGGATGTAGCAGATTTTCACTGTCACCGCTACAGTAAGGCAACATTTTTACGCACGAGTATATTTCAAAATGAGAATGATTCATATGTCCAGGCCAACTTCATCATGATTTCTACAGCTACCGGTTAATTAATTAAAACAAGCCATATCACTGTGACTTGTATACTGAAGTTTACAAGTATCTAATGTCTGAAAAATATGTTATTAATGTATTTTGTGTTACAAATTTTGATTTTAATTTATGACAATTCTTGTTATGCTTCTTAAACACTCTTCTAGAAAATCATACAACAAAGTCAAAAGCACGTCGTGCTTCTACGGTTTCCTACCTTGCATATCTAATTATAATAAAAAAAATGGAAGCCCTTTCAAAAATTAAAACAACCCTGCTTTTATCATTAACCACCTGAGCACAAAGCTCATCTAAATAATACTTAAAAAATGCTTACTCTTAAGATCCAGAACAGGGGTAAGAGAATAATGTTGGTACATAAAATGAGGCAGGAACGGAAACAAGTGTAGAAATTTCACATTTACATGCCACATAATCAAATTCCTGATGGCTGTAAAACAGATAAGAGGACAAATGGATCAATTTTATTGCATGCAAATGTAGAGAGTGAATTTAACATATCCAAGTAAAATTGTAGTAGCAGTTTCATTACATATTTCTAATTATCATTAAACTGATTTAATTAAGATAGAAATAATATGTATTTGCGTTAAATTAACCATCATGGAATGCACAGATTTTAATCTGTGCCACTTTAAATTTTCTGCTTCTATCCTTAAAAGTGTGAAGAGGACATGAAGAATAAATGATCAACATTTAAAAATTTGTCGATATAGGGACTATATTAATAATAGTGAGGATCTATAACAGCATTTTAAATAAGATTTACTGATAAGACAACTAAAGATATCTTCATGAAATGTTTTAACATAACATCCTTAAGCTAAAAAAACTTTTATAATGCAACCTCCTGAAGATGTCTGGAAAACAGGCACAACATGTTGGCTGAAAAGCAAATAAAATAAAACTCTAGACCATAACATACACAAATGTAGCTGACAGTATCAACTGAAGTATAACTAGCAGGATCAGATATTTTTGAAATTCCTTGAGTCCTTATGATGTAACTAATGCACAATGAATTCATACAGATGACCAACTCCAATTTGTGGACTGCGGTCTTCAAGATTGTGAAGCCATGTAGCCTTGAAGGCGGTTAACAATGTTCCTCTGAAATAATGCTAACAATCTACAAGACTACTGGGCATCACAACCTTGAAAACCACAATCCACACATTCACTGCCATGAAAACAATAATCTCAGCTACTAAACCAATCCCAAAATAAAAACTGCACCTACAGTGGACACCCTGACTGATAGCTTCAAAACATGTCATGTTAACATTAATGTGTTAATGATGTAATGTTTATTGCAAGTGACAATGAATGTCAAATACATTGCTGGTTGCTTATATTTAATAAATACAGCTGAGGCAGTGCACTTTTGCCATGTGGCACACACTGAGTTGATTGTATATTATTGCCACAGGATGGTCGAGAATGTCCCAAGTTCGATTAAGCTTTGACGATCACATTAAAAAAATACTTATCATATAGGAAATTACAGACAGCATAAACCCTTAATTTCATTTAGTTCTAAAACTTGTGCTTGAAGGACTTTTGATTCAATTGTTATTTAATATTTTTCAAAACTTGACATACACCTTCTGGTAAAGTGGCAATACTGATTTGCCTGTATCACCCAAAATCAAAAGTATTAATATGAAATTTAATATATATTTTTTAAATTCTAATGCCATATTTCACCGAGATATATTTTAAAAAAAGTACCTAACAGACAGAAAGTAGCCAACAGGCATGTTCTGTTTCATCACAGAGATCTATAATTTTGGCCATTAAATCTCTTTCCCAAATATGATTTTATACACAAATCCGGATTTTCAGAAGCCTCGAGATTTCTCAGACCTCCAATTTGGCTGTCAAGTTTCACTTTGGTGTTAGTTTTACAAATTCAGTAGTGGATTTGATTTTGTTGCAACCTGGCAGGGGGAGGTTTTCAACAGAGAGCAATAATTGTTCAATGGATGGTAATGACAAGGGGAAATTTAATCCTTGATACTAAGGCACCTAATCTTGAGTAATATACAAGGACATGATCTGGTACATTATTTCAATATCCTTCTAAGCAGCACAATCTTGAGACCATTAAAACAAGAAGGAAAAAAAAAATACAATCCTTAGTACATAACTGCCTTGTCTTACCACCATCACCACCAACAACAACCCCCCCTCCCGGGCTAACTCATCTCCTTCTGGAACATTCAAGTATTAAAAATAAAGTCTTCTTCAATAAATTCTGCTGTAAACACTAACAACAAAAGTAACTAAAAAAACATAAGAAAAATTGTAAGTCTGTAACTGGAAACTATACCTCTACCATGAATTATATTTTACGTGTTGATGTTTTACAACCACCTAACTTCAGGAACTGTAGCTAAAGGCTTATTTCACAGAGGTGGCGGAGACTGGATGAAGCAACTGCAGGACCTAAATTAGGATTGACAATTACCAAGGTGAGCTAATTGCTAGTGAAGTGAATATGTTGCACACAGTGCTGCCTGATAAAGATACAGCATAGACAAATGTATTTTCCATCAGCAAGCAATGAGCTAAAGATTGTGAGAACTGGCAGATGTCTTCTGATTTTATAAGTTATTATTAAAGTGTTTTGCTAAACCCAAAGATTATCCTACTGACCCAGACACATTTAATTTCATCCCTTGGTATTATGTAGTAAAATTTTTCACACAAACAACAATTAGCTCATGTATTATTATTTTGAAAGAGGCAACTAAAATGTGCTCAAAAAAAAATGTGAAAACTGTTCATACAACTGTTACAGTTTTAGTATAAACAACATAATAACAATTTAGAACAGATGAAAAGAATATTCATATCCATTGTGGATTAGTAACATATAAAACATCCTCACTGAAATAAACTATGATTTGGACATAATCTCAGCAGGTAAACATTCTGTCAACAGCAATAACTGGATAAAAATGGATGTCTTCTGGGTTGTTGCACCGTGTAGTCTGGCAGAAGTTTACCAAAATTTCAGAGGTCCTTGCTGCTTCCATCATCAGGACGATTATGGAAGCAGCAAGGACCTCTGAAACTAAACTTCCACCAGACTACACGGTGCAACAACCCAGAAGACAGCCATCTTCAGACTCACCGCCATGAAAACCTCAAATCCTACACAATAAGTGAATAATTTACAAAACTAGACACAATAAAACAATATGGAGCACCATACCTCATTCAAGTAACAATATTATAAACAATCTATAAAAGGTAATTTGTGCTGGCTCATTAATAATTTAAAAGGACACATTCATAGTTGATCACATTTCAGCTCCCATAATCATCACAAATTACAATAAATACAATAGTATTATGAATACATTATAAGGCTTTGAATATGTTGAGATTACTACAACACCAAAGGAACACTTTTCTTTTATTTGTTTGCTATTGGACTGGATGGTTTTTGTCACAGTACCTCCTTCAGATGGCCCATGCCACCACACATCAACTTGTATTCCACTGATCCAGTTGTCATCAATTCAAGTGCAATCAATATAATGCAACAAAGTTACAACACATGATGGAAGAATAATTTGATGAATGTTGCAGCACTAAAGACTCATTCTTTCTATAAAATTCATTGGTCAGCTTACTTCTTTTATAAACTCAGAACACTATATAAAGCATAAAAAAACTGAAGATCATTTACAGAAAGAAAGAGACCCACTCAAAGTTTGTATGTAGTTTCCTTTGTTAAATCTTAAGAAGCATAGAATGAGATTAAAAATAACATACTGATACTTATATTGGCATGATTCAGAAGTGAGGTTAGTGTTTATGTGAATACTTGACATCATCAATACTTGCTTGTAAACCGTCCACATACATTTGTTCACTTGATGATGATGCTAGAGAACTGAAACACAATATGAACAATTTAACAAGTGACTGTTAATGATATCAAGTTCAGCAGACCCTCCTCGTTTGTAGGCTTGTGCATCACAGTCTTGCTTTTTTGCAGAAAAATTATTGTGGCATAAGTCCCTCACTCTTTTGCGGTTCTTGCACAGGCACATGGAATAACACAAAATAGCCCATATCTGCCAGCCTATCTCAGTAGCTACCCAGATATTGTGCCACAGAGTGTACTTTGACTGTACTTTTTACAATTTTTAGAATGAATGCTGTCCTTTGTTCAGTAACCCTGACAACTTTCAGCCGGGAACACCGACATCATCCCAATAAACACCAACACTGATGTTTTCAGGTTTATCAATAATTTAGTATCATGGTTAACGTGTCTTTGGTTTTCCTAACCCCATTTTCCCATAAGGTCTTAACTTCGTGCATCACGGTTTTACTGTTTGCAAAGGTTTCAACAACACGACTGCCATGAATGGCAAGGGCGTGCTGTATTCACACAAGTTAATACACTGACATCACTTCAACAGTCAGACAGTGACATACAGTATTCTGTCACCTAAATGGCATTAGCATGACCACTTATCTGAAGGATAAAACAATTCTTGGTCTACTGAATACAATCAATTTCGGTCAGATATGTTTTTTTATCTATAAGGTACAGTGCTTCTGACTTCAAGAAAAATCTTTTATTACTGTTAGTTAGCAAAAACTAAAATCATGTTATTAAAAGCATTTTTGAATGTTTATAAAAATAAATCGGCGTAACATTCCTACAGAAATAATCTACATTAAAAGGAGCAGACTGGATAGGCACATTTCTTGTGGCATACAATTAACACTTTGTATCTGTATGTAGAATGGTGTATCTCAGGTGAATGAATGAGTATATTTTGCTGCAATTTCAACAGTTTCTTCAACCTCAATTGGTAATCACAGCCACTCCACACTAGCTGGCACAGAGCTGCAAGCATCACATTTTACCAACATGAAATACTAAAATCGTATATCATTCAAGTAGTTAAAAAAAAACATTTCAGCAAACAATCCATTAATGTTCTGGCATGTAATCAATACATCAACCACACCAACTTTCTTATAACTTGAATGCCATACAGAAGCAACAAATGCTAGCGAACTGACATATGCACCCAACACTAGTGGACTGCGTTGCCGAGATGCAGCCTACCCTTCTCTCAGTAATGATTATGGGAGAAGTTATTCATAATATTGCCTTGTTTGTACAGTTTTAAGAACACACAAAAAGTACAGGAACAAAATTAGAAGATCTGAAGTTATTCAAGTTTCAATTTACAGGCAGAAAAACACTCATATATAATATACGGTACTAAGAATTTTTAAATCTACAACACACATCACATTACCTAAGAAACACCTTGGATGTATGGCCTCTCTGGATAGTAAATTCTCACTTTGGTAACCACATCAGTTCCAAAAGATGCAGTAATGTTGTGATGCATTCTTGAGAGAAAAATTGACACTTACACAAGATTTCTGGTGATTATTTTAACTAGACTGTGTGTTAATGTATTTATTTATATTGCCTTATTCCTTCATCGGCAAGTCTGCTTCAAGTGGTGTAATATATGATTCATTAACTGAGGTCCACTGAGAATTTGTTGCTCAGATTTACAGCGCTATACCACACACACTCCTGCTTTCACTCGCAGACATTCCTTTGAAACTGATTTCCTTTCCAGAAAAAATACTTGCTAGAAAACACTTCATACATATTTTTGTTAAATCTTTAATTTCTAGTCATTACTTAGTATAAAACTAGCTATAAACCTACACACGAAACATTGCAATTAATGTGTTTGAAATCTGCAAAGCTTAGAGATGTGCAGCGAGTACTACAATAATCATAATGATAAAGACTGCTTTCAAAACGGGACAAGGCTGTAACTTTAAGTTTGCCAACCTCACCACATCATACAGTATGATAAATGTTGTAAACTGATGAGATCCACCATTACCCCATGGGCAACTGATGATTGATATGAGATGTAGGTCAATCAAACAGTGCTATAAATTGTATCAAATTAAAATCCATTATGATGGACAACACAATGTTTTTATCTCCAGAAAATTTAAAAAAGCTCTCTTATTCATTCCGCATTTCAAACTGGAAGTACTGCGTACTCAGAAACTGTTTGTGTAAAGTAAATCTGTCCTACTAGACATAAAAGAGATATATAGATGCTTAGGGGGAGGAGGTATTAACTCCTACTCATTTTTGACCTCAGCACTATATGGGGCGAGTGGTCGACATCATGCCCTGGATAGGCTTTACCCCTGGTAAACGGACCCTTGGTACCCAATGGACAGGAGGCCGGGTGAGCCCCAGAACCAGTCTGGATGCAGATTCTATATTAAAAACTCTTTACCCCTGCTGAAGATTAAACCCCAGATGTCAATCAACAGTCAGACATTACATACTGACTGAGCTGTCCCAGCTCATACACTGTTTGTGTACTAGTAGTCCCCAGTATTTGTCATCCATTTACCAAGTGTCAAGTAATCCCTGGTCCTCGGTTATTTATAACTACGCTCCACTGCAAATGTCCAAATTTTGATATTGCAATGTTTTAACTTGTTTTTTAATTATACAATACAGTGCATCCATTAATAAACTGTAATGCATCACTTACCACCAAACACTTATACAATTTTCCCGAAACGACCGAATTATCACTCCACAAAAACAATGACATCATCTTACTTCTTCTTTTTTCCCTAAAAGGCGCTGAAAATGTTCTTGTGACGGCTTTCTTCCAGTTTATCAGTGAACACACTGTAGTTGGGTGTCAAAGTTAGAGATGATGTAACTGAGAATCTCTGATAAATAAATGGAACCTCATTATCTGTGGTAGCCAACTGATCAAACAATCAAGCTGTAGTTTCATAATGATGGAGTATTTATGTTTCCAGTGAACAAAAATATTTCCTTCTAGTCTCTTACTACCAGTACTACTGAGAAAATATATGAACATATTCTACATCAAACATTCCTGGAGACAATACATGAGCATTAAAATAATTTTGACACAATGTGGTATGGTTGATGCATAATTTTGAACTGCAATTAAATATTGGAATCACTTGTATCTTAAAATGCAACTATAAGGCAGATTAAGAAACACAGCAAAGGCCAGATATAATGAACTTAACTACAGTACACAATTATTATAAGTAAATGAAAACTTTTCATGAAAATTTCCATTATGACGAGCAACCTCTCATTCACGTACTTAAAAAAAAACTAAACAGAACTCCGACTGCAGTGAGGATTCTTCTGATAACAAGGAACAAAAATTCTACTGCACCTTGTTTCAAATATGTTTCACTGTACTGTACTATACCATATATCTCATAAAGTTACTGAATGTTCAATGGAACAGAATGTTAAACAAGCTATATATTGCAAATTTAATGTTCCATTCACAGCTTACACGCACTCTACATAACCAGTACTTGAACTGTGACAACTTACTTATTTTAAATAAAAAAAAACACTATGACAAACAAACAAACAAATCAGTTTTTGCACTATTACAATGTGACAGTTGAAGCTCTGGTATCAGCAAATGCACACGGAAGACAGAAGAATCATAGTTTTAAGAAAGAAGTCTCTCAATGACACACATATCTATGCTACAGTCAGGGGTAAAAATGCTGAAATAAAAATCCACTCAGGCTTAGTGAATTGATATACAGTGCAAGAGAAGTTATCTTTCTTTGCTCTATATTGCAATGTGCTACTCTATGGTCTTACTCTTCTCACACGGCGGTGGCAGATTGTTCTAAATAACAAACTAGAATTTTCTACATCGTTCAGTCAAATAATAATTAAGTGTAAATACAAATAGCAGGGGAAAAAACCCAACTTCTTGCATAACCTTTTCATTGTTTCAAATACATCAGTAGTAGTAAGGAAGGAGGTGGCCTCAGCAGAATACAGAAAAGATAACTTCTCCACCAGTTGACCATAGTATTTACAAATGGAAAGATCTGCGTGTAGAATTTCCTGTTCATAATGACACTTACATGTATACATAATCATATATGTGATTACACGACATTATGACAGTATCTAGAGGCAATTTAAACCAAATGACCAAAACTTCCATGCTCCTGGGTCATTGCGTCTTATACCTAGATGTCGAACAATAGAACAATACACAGAAGAACGAAATGAAATAATTATATTCACAAATATAGAAACTTCTTGGCATCGTTACACTACTATCAGTTATCACAGTAGAGATAATTTTGAATTACGACATAAAAAATTCTAGAGTACCATATTCCTGCAAAATCCCTAAGGGGCACAGAAGCTTTAGCGGAGCTACATGTTGTTGTAGATTTCTCATACAGGACCTCATCATCATAAATTATAATGCTGATTTACATTCATGAAAGGGTAAAAATCAAACACTAGCACAATGGTACTCATCGCAACAGTCGTCAGTATAGGCTTGTAAATAAATCGTTGGAAAATTTCAAGTAGTTTGTAAACATTAGGCCAAGGAGACTTTCAACAGATGTTGATTGTGCTTATCCTTTCTTTTAAAGTCTGATGCTATAGTAACAGTAATTAAAAAAGTCAATTCCTATTTTTAACTTGATTTCTCTCTCTCCCCTTTATCTAATCTAAGTGTGTGTGTGTCTCTGTGTGTGTGTGTGTGTGTGTACATATATGTATGTGTGTGCTCAACAACATAGCTGCCCCACCATCCTACTACAATAATACACAGTAGTAATTATCTGATTACAAAACTTACTTGAAATTTGAAGATTTGAATATATATATTTTTTTACAAAAACTATGTACCACCTCTCAGTCTCCACTATGAGTTCACTTCTGATGAAATGAATTGTTTGAGATTATTGTTTATAACACACTAACATTATTTCATATCTGCCAAAGAGGCAATTCAAGAACACATTTTTACACACAAAGAGAGAAGCCAAGAAAAATCTGCAATAACATATTCTTTTCTTCAAAAAGTGTGTGAAATATGACATTTTTCAATGTTTTATCCATATAACTACAATAATATATCTGTTCTGTACAAGTCGTTAAGTAACCTATCTATATATTTAACATTCACAAGTATTACAATTTCCTATATAATCTTAATTTAACAAAAACATAATTATCTGCAACTATATATCACGTGTGGGGAAAAAAATGAATGCTATACACCTTATATTATTGCTACCGCAAAATGTCTACATTCAGGCTCATGAAGTCAGCTGAATTCATCCCATCCTTACCATTTTTTAGATAACAAATAAATAATGCATTTATATCTTTTCAACTCGATACAAATGCCAAGAACAATAAACATATTACTGAATCAGCTAGTAACTGATCAAAATTTTTGTATTAATAAGCTAACTGCCTCCGTCATGTGTGGCCAATCAACACTCTTCAGAGATCGCAGTCCTTAAAAGCCAATTCCACTTCCAGGCGATATCAACGCACACTGCCTATGCAGACGTTCAAAACCACGAGCAAGGAATGTCCATGGGACTGCAGATATACAGCAGAATGAGTACTTGTAATGGGAGACTTGTTTTGTTCACATTATCCACACATGCCAAGATGTTTTGAGCATCAAGATTAAGTAGTTGCCTTTCTGGCAAAAGCGATAAAATAGGAGAAAGCTATGCAAGCTAATAAACTGTGCATCATCTACCTATGACACAAAGCTAGAATCTGTTAGCTACCACTACTTAACACCTCCATTATTTACAATTAATAATGAAGGATAACATTCTCCCATCAGGAAAAGACATCCTTCTAGTTTCACAATGGACTTGTGATAACAAAACATCCCTGACTTCAAGAAGCACCTTTGTATGAATTACTAAACTTGTCAATTTTGCTGGTCCTAGGTTAGGTTATACACTTCTGAATTTAATAATACTACCCACCCTGTGGCAACAAGCTAATGTTATAGGTAGGAATATGCTTGCATTCATTTAGCTTAGTCTTATTTTATCTAAAAAGAAAATTAAAACTGTATTTATATTGGAATTATACGCCAATAATTTGTTCTTCGTAACAACTTAGACAAAGAAATAATGTTTGTAAACAATACGTGAACTCTGCTACTGCAACAAACGCCTGTGTTGCCAGTAGGAGGCATTGCATGCTGATACTGATTTGTTTTTGCTCGGACTGACTGGTGCTATCACCAATGAGTTTCGATGAACTGTAAGAAATAAAAATGACCACAGTAAGAATCTGAACTGTGTTGAGGCATGCAACTAGTGGTCACCATGGTAACTGCTGTTCAACATTAAACGTCAATATAGTACAAGCACCCTGACACTACAGTTGTTTCTTACTGTAAACATACACACACACACTAAAAATGATAGGAAAAGGACATATGTAAGTACATATTATGACATCTCTGAGTCAATGTCCGTCATCATCATCAACAACAAAGATTCATCCCAAACATTTGTTTTGTCATAATAAAATTTTTTTAAAAAAAAAAAATCTTTGGCATATGATTTTATTCTATCCTTTTAACATGGTCTTACTATTTATCCCTTTAACTTAAACTTTTTATCCATAATGTTATTAATGTGCAATTCCTAACATTTTCACTCATACTGAACGTCAAAACAGTGCCTTGAATTAGGCTACAAATGCTACCTACCACACCCTTTACAATTCATTATTCACTGTCATCCTGTCATTTGATGCTACATAGTCTGAGCTACTAATAGGTGTCATTAAATAGACTATAAATAAATAAAAATCTATACTCATATTTTAATTTCAGAATAAATTACTATTTCTGATCTCAGAATAACTAGTGAATCTCCACAGGTATGTATGTTAAATACGATACAATGAAAAATCACAAGCATGTATGAAATAAATCGTAAAATCTATCAAATACCAAGATAAATACCAGCAATTTTTAAGATTAGGTTTATAAATTTCAAGACAGTTGCACACTGTTGACCAAGTATGTGAAACTTCGCATGGCAGTAACTTATGAATGTTCGGTCAGTCCCATTTTGAGCATCACGGAAAGGCACAACAATCCAAATGCTCTGAATGCTACAGTCATATTGTACGCCTCTACTTGATAAGTATGACAGTTGTGCAGGTACTCCGTACCACTGATAAAATTCAGATTTCAAACAGCTCTCAAATAATTTATATCGCTGCAATTACAGTTAATATGAACAGGTGATAATTGGGCTTACCATGGATCACTTCACATTGTGAAGTATCCTCCAATTGTTGAAGCCAAGATAACTCCAAGAATGGCGACGCAGATCATGATCATGATTTTCTTCTGCAGATTAAAATCCAAAAAGACCTTATTAGCAACATGAGTAATTTGCTACATCAAAGAACAGTATATGATTACACGAAACATCTAATGAAAGAGTTTTTACCTTCAATTTGGTGATACTCTAAACACACTGGAATTTTGTAGGAGACAGTAATGCTAATTACAAATTACAAGATTGTATCAGACTCTGACATTCTGAAACATAATTACTTTGTTCCTAAACATATATAATTCACTGCGTGATTAAATCATGCATACTACATGCACTGCCTATTCTATCCTCCAGGCGTGGACCAGTCTTGTTAAAAGTGTTAGCATGGATAACACTTTTAAAAAGGAAAAACAGTTATCTTATTTTATTTCATCGGTTCTGCTGTGTTCCAGTGTATGGAGTACCAATGAAACATTTAAGTAAAATTTACTTCTCATTTTTCAATGTATTAGCCAGGCTAACACAGCAAACATGACTAACACAAATATGATGCCCCTGCTATCCTTAGATTGTATAATTTTAGTAATATATAGATTACAAATTACAAATCTCATTATGCACCATCCTCCTCGAACTTAATCGATCAAAGGTCAACATACTCTCCTCAGCAGCTGTTCTGAAATACCCCATTGCGTTTCTCTCTTAATGTAAGACACCAAATTTCACAACTACATAAAACAATTGATACAATTATATTTTTGTATATTTTGATCTTTACATTTTTAAGTAGCAGGTAGGAAAAGAAATATCTTTAACTGAATGGTTCTAAGCATTCCCTTGTAGATTTAAAAAAAAAGTAACATCACAAATTTGAGAGCTGTTATAATTAAACACTCATTGTACTAATATTTTCAGCAAATCCTTTAATAATTAATTCTAATATTAGTTTTCATGTTGCTCAAGACTGTAGAAGGGACAATTCTGGAATACTTACTATATCCTCCTGGTACAAGGCTGGGAAAATGATCACAAAATTCTACTTTTGGTCTTTTACCTTTTCCGTATGTCTTGGCCATCGATTCCTCATTTGTATGCAGTCAATAGAGGAGTGCCTTGTGGCTAAATGGTTGAAGTTGGTTTATTCCTATGCTGGGAGACAATTTTTAACTCATACAGAAACAAATGAATGCTCCATTACCTTACAGACTAACTGAAAAAAAATATACCACTCAACTTACAGGCCCAGTGAGAGCTATAACACCACGATGACAACAAAATATATATTTAATATATCTTTTGTTAGACATGAAATTCACGTAACTTAGTATAAAATACACGTATGTAAAATCATAGTACTGAGGTCAAAAGTCAAATATGTCTGTATGAAAAAAACCTACACAACTCTCTCTCTCACTGGACCCTTTTATTGACATGAAGAAAGAAACTAAATCAAAATGTAAAAGGTAAAGTTGTCCCTGGTGCTTAATTAAGTACCATGGCATGAAGACATGAAGGAGTGGAGATACAACTCCATGCATTCTTAGCATCCATACTAGATGGAGGTCAGTGGTCATCTTTATGCCTCCAGCTGCTTTATCCCTGGTGAGGAAGCCCTCAGTACCAATCTGACAGTAGGGTGGGTGTGACCCAGAGCCAGTCTTGATGCGGTGGCAAGGAGAAAAATCCTGCACTTCCCAGGAATCAAAATCCAGTCATCTATCCCAAATCCTAGTTGCTATACCGACTGAGCTACATTGGCTCCAAATTTTATATGTTAATATTGCAAACACAAAACTCTCTTTTTGGAAAAAAGTCAACAGCATATTATAATAGAACACAGTCTTCATAAATATTAGTTCAGACTGTGACTGAAATAAGAGTTATGAACACATACAGAATTTTCTTTTTGCATAGTCCTCTTCTTAGCTTTATATACACCAATACATGCTTTCCACCTGTGTCATTTTCTGTTGATTATTTTGCAGGTAAGCAAAAATTACATACAAATAACCATGACAATATTGAACATGGACAATTCATATTACTTAAAAAAAGACAGGAATGCATGATTTACAAATCATTGTGGAAATGTTCATTTTATTTTGTGGAACACTTAACAACCATGTTTTATCAATTAAGATATTTAAAACAGAGACGTTTCAGTGCTATTAGTATGAGACCAGAACAGACTGAATATAAGTAATTTTCTTTGGTGTTTCCAAATGGTATAATCTACTACAGGGGAGGAAATTATAAGTCAGCTTTCCTCTGAGTGCTGAACACTGCTGTCAGAGTTTACTTTAAAGAAGCAACCACTAGTCTTTTCTGTCTCCTGCAAATGAAATATTTTATGAAATGAGGAGGGTGTTCAAAGTATTAAAAAACATGTATTTTCTCTCAAGTAATTATCAGTAATGCTACTCAATAATCAGCATGATTGGGTGCATAAAAGCTGAACCATATCTGGAAAAGCATTGGCTCTTTCCTCTTTGGAAATGCAATTAAAACCACAGCCCTCTAAGTGAGCTATACAGGTTGAAACAAATCAATTGGTTTCTTTGTGAGGGATTCAGCTTTACCCAGTGAATAAATTTAACTAAAAAATCCACTCATTCAAAAGATTAACTTGTGTAATGTAAGCGCTTTGATCACAAATTCCTGTCTTTCTTAATAACGGGTATCGTCAAACTGTAAAACTATTAACATCAAGCAGTGCTACAAATTCATGCTGTTCAGTTATGTGACTTCTAAAACTTACAACATTTGAAAATCTTAAGACACAAAATTTAATTGTTTGCGGGTGCCAACAATACAAATATTTGTGGGCAAAACAGAAGATAAGACATTTCTTGTGAAAATCAGTTATATACTCTATATATAAATTAACCAAGATCTTTAAATGCTGTGTTTAAAATTAATATTTTCCAATTAAGGTTAATGTTGATGTTTAGATGTGTATAATACATTAATGAGCGCATCCGAATCAACAAAACAAATTGCAAGGAGTACACACATATGTATGTAAATATGTATCTATTCCCAATGTCTTGGGCCTGAAATGTTTAATGACATATAAAGGGGAGAAAATTATTCATATACTTCTTATTCCTGATGTGCTGTATATGAAATATTTCATGGCATACACAGAAAAAAAAGTTCAGCACAAAATGAAATAAAGAAAAAAAAATTGATTTGTGTCTACATAAATACCATAAACAATATAAAATTTGCAAAGAATGTATGGAAAATGTGTGTATACTTTTCAGTTCCTGCAATTCTGCATGGTGTACATAAAACACTAATATATTTAAATCATCATTCAGTATTCTAGAAATATGCGGAAAACACGCAATAATACAACGTATATAATGACTCTGATTCCAAAACGAAGCATGTGATTGTGTGTTGTGTTCAGTGTCTTACATTCAACAACTTCATGTTAGCATTTTATTAACGCTCTTACATCAGAAAATAAAATAATATGCAAAGTCTGTGTTGTTTAATAAATTGCAAATTAACTGTACATCTTTTAAAAACAGAACACAAAAAATAAAATACGTAGGACAACACATAATGAAACATAAAAAACTTCAATATTTGCATGAATCAAGCAATAATGTTTTTGATTTATTTACAGGATCACTAATCACAGACTTTGAGGAACTAACCAAACAAACGAATCATACAGAGTGCAGTAATTATGATTCAAACTTGCTGTGGAGTCATCAGGTTGGTCCATGCAATATCCCTCGATGCAGACTTTCTTTCAGTGACGGCTATTTCGTGCAATTACATTAACCAAAACACATGTTTTTAATGTAAGTCGTTCTCCAATTTAATGCTGCCCCCCCCCCCCCCCCCCCCCCACAAAAAACTGACTTCAAAATCTCTTATAGAATACGTATACATACCATTTTAAAGGTATTATAAAATTATTCTGTTGTGCCCGTATGTGATACAATTATACAACAGATTAAACTGTTAATAATAAAAACACTTCTGTTCTCCTCCATGCACCGCACATAAATTATCATGCTGCAAACATAATTCTAAACCAATTATTACATTCTTCAAACTGTATAAAACAGTAACTCCATTGTACTGGCTGTTATTGCATTGCTATTATTATCAATAATGGTATACTCATAAACAACTTATTCTCTGGATCACTATCACAAAACAAAAGTTTCTGCAACACTTTGTAATGAATGAAGACATTTCGAAGGTCAACATAGGATGTGAACAGTGGTGCATCTAGTATAACATTTTATGCCCAACTTACTAATCTTCTAAAATAATGCTAGTAGCAAATTCATAAGATAAGAAAGCAAAATATATAAAGAATATATAACACATTTGAAATATACATATTATGTATTACTATTCGAGAACTGCTACATAAAAAATGGGACAATAACCGCAAATTAGCACATTTTTCATGACACAGACTCAAACCCAACAATAGTAAAATAGAAAAAGGAATTATTAAAAGAAACACAAACCAGAAGGGAAGGAGGAAGAATGTGGTCATTTTACACAGCAAACTCATCTCTCAGATTCTTATTTAAACACAAACTGGCTTTTGTTTTCCAGTTTGTTTTCTAAGAGACAGTCACATGCCCTTTCTTTGGGGTCACAATGGAAATATTAAGTCTTACTTTAAACTGTATACCACGTCTCAACTGGCGTCTGGCACTAAGTGTCTTTTCAAAGTGTAAACAGTTTTTGTTTGTACGTATGATTTATATGTCTCATTAATTGTAACCATTTTTCATGTTACATATCTGTACATAAGAAGTTCATTCCAATAGTACAGTTAGGCATTTTGAGATCATACTCCACATTTAAGTACTGTGCAGAAACAAGCAACATTACAGTATTGCCAACACAATCCACTTGACCTGGGAAGTTTCTCAGCTATAAGGAATGTACATTATTACAGATATCTTCAATTGATATATATAAATATATTATACTGTATGTAATATTTACAATCGATATGATAACTACTGCACAAATAAATAAGTTCGTTAAGGACACCCACCTCACGATACATCTGACATTCACA